CCATTTGATAAAATGTGACGTGTTTCGTGAATCGATATATTCATAGCTTCGAGATTTTTGTTGATATCCTGAAGCAAAAGAGTTTGCTTTGCTCCATTACTTTGGGTCGTATTGCCAAGCGAAGAAGAGAAATACTTAACAGCAATATTTCCTCAGGACATGGAAATTCGCGTAAATGTTGTCTTTTTTTTTGAATATTTTGGATAGTCTTTTTTTTTTTTTTTATTTTTTTTTTTTTTTAATTTTTTTTTTGTAGGCATATTCGCGATGAGTCCATAATTTACTTAAGCGCTTACTCATCTTCAACGTTTCCAAAGGCATTTAGTTCGCTTTTATAGTTGAATAGCCATCACAATTTTGGGCGGGAAGGGAAAGTCATCTTCGTTGCTCATATCGCGAGCAGTATTGCACTTCCGAGATACATATTAGGGAGCAATTTTAGACAATAGTCGTTTAGTCTTCCTTTCGTACACAATAGCTGCAATAGTGTCCTTACAATTTGTGTGATTTCATTGATTTCGACCAATCGGGGTATACTCCTTTTGTTTGTTTTTGTTTTTTCCTAAAGCAAAAGTGAAGATATCGATTTAAATAATATTGAATTTTTTTTTTTGCGTCGAGGTTGGTATTAAAAATGGGCCAAATTGGTCAGAGCAGAGAAGCCCGCCGTGGAGGGTAAAAATGAACGCAAGTCCGTTTCTTTTAACAAAAATTTGTGAATTTTTCCTCGTTATTCGGAAATTATGAAGAATGCAGGCTCATAATTTCCACATCTAATCTTTACGTGCGAAAATCGAAAAAAATTGACCATGACCACATGACTGACCACAAACTTACAAAATGATTAAATTTTTCTTTTGTCCAATTTTTCGAGCTTTCACATCTATTTCTCATAAGGCGGGCAAATAAGTCAGCTATTTTATACAGTTCTGAAATGAAGATATATTATCTGCCTAAAAATTTGTGGTAATTCTAAAATGAATATGATAGACGTCGCGATTAATTTTTTTCTTAATAATACCATCGATATGGGTATCAAATAAAAGCACTTGGAGAGTCGAATGCGAAAAGCATCGTGGGTAGGGTATGCGAGATTCGGTCTCAGCCGAATATAACTTCTTTACTTATTTATATTATAATTTTTTTTTTGCATTTTTTGCAACCGGAGATTTTATATACAACACGTTGCACTATATGTTTTTGTGAGTAAGCATACGATCATATTGCATGTTGTCGGCCTGTTCTTGTGATAAAATAGCTCAGGTTTTTCTGTTTTGGTGAGCCTAGATTTCAATGATTATACCAAAATTATGAATTTAAATTTGAAATGAGCTGAAATAGTGAAATCCCTGAAATAGATCGTAGTGTAAATTATACAATAAAATATATCCTGCTCCATTCATGCGCGAATGTATGTAACACCAAGAGGAAATTAAAATGGATTCATATTTTATTTTATTCCGAATCATTTTCTGAATCGATTTAAGCTTTCCGATCTGTCTGATGACGATCGTTCATGACTTTTTCAATTGTCTTCAACGTACAATTTCGCAATTTTCAAAGTATTTTAAATGACAAAAAAAAAAAACGAATCGTTTTGAAAATGCATTTGTTCGGACTTACGTAAGAAGAATAATAAGATCTTCTGGAAGAAAACTAATTTTGCGAAATTTGAATCAAGTCGATTCACGTTTCCAATCTTGTTTCATATAAGGACTGCCTTTACATCGTATTAAATGCAGAGTTATATTAAACGAAACAACGGAGGATATTTAATCGACGACTTGGTTCGATTTTAATTTCTTTATTTGTGTGTTGTATGTTGTTTACTACGCCTTATTTGAATAGAAGATATATGTTGGGTTGATTTTTTCGTTTGCGATACGCATCAATATATATGCATTCTTGATAAGTAAAAGATTCTGAGTAGGTTTTTGTGTGCTGGTAGATACCCGAAAATTAAAAAAAAAAAAAAAAAAAAATCAAAGAAAAAAATTGAATTTGGTTGCGCTTTGAATGGGAAAGAGCCTAAAAACAATCACACATACTTCTAGCAATTATCTGAAATTCTTGTTTAAATAATTGTTAGGACCATTGAAAGAATTGAGCGAAATTAAACTGAAAAAGGACGGACTAGTAGTGAGTGAGACGATCAAACTTATAAAAGGCTGTAGTTTTTATATAAATGCTTGAAAATGAACACTAATGCATGCTTGCGCCAAAACAAATACAATTTATTTGCTTAGTTTGTTCTCCTTTAAGTGCTCTCATAATCTTAATTTTTAATGTTTACGGTGAAAAAGGTACAGCGATATTACCATTACCGTATTGTTATTATTTTTGTTCGACTTGTTTCGAGAAAGTCTTAGAAAGCAATAACAAGAACAACAAACAACTATATATATGCAACTGCTATGTAACAATTTGTCCTACATACAACTATAGGTGTACGTATATATAGTGTTTGAAGAAGAGAGAAAGGCCGCAAAGCAAAGAAAAAGATTGTTGCAATATTAAAAAAAAAAAAAAAACAACAACAACAACAACAAAGCTGTTAAAAGCTACAAGTGGCGAATATAACCAAAAATGGGGAAATGAGAACTATTTTTCAAGTCTTAGGAAATACCTTGAGTCGACAATCCATTCAAATATTGACTCATCTTTTTAATGCCATCGTATTCGCCTGCGATTGCAAGTTGCCTAAAAAATTCTTAAGAACCTGTTAGGGACATAACGAAGCTTACCATATAATATTATGTCGCTAACTGGCAATTACAAATCATCTGAAAGTAATTTTTAGTCCTTGTCGAAGAATTTGGATTTTTTCTTTGGATTTATTTTTTGTTTTTCTTTCATTTTTTGCTTTTTCTTTTCGCAATTCCATATTAGCAAAGCTCTAACAGTAATCGTTTGTTGTTTCTCTAAAACTTAATAAATTTATATGCGCAGATGTATTTGCAATCAAATACACACTACGCATATTAATGCAACGTTCATCGCTGCTGCTGCTACTACTACAAAAACGTCATCAATACCACAAATACAGTTAAAAAAACGCGCAAGAAATGTACGAAAATGATATGATTTATTACTTACCTAACGCACATGTTAACCCATCATCTCTTTTTTTTTCTATATATTTTCTCTCTTGTTTCTCATCTCTGACAACCTAATCAGAGTTCTTCTACTCGGTGGTATCGAAACACATTCCATATGCATTGTCTCAAACGCGCCGCACTCTCCTGCTCCTAATTAAAAACCTATGAATAATGTGTCATTCGAATATTTTTTTAACCTTTTAAAAAAAAAAAAAAAACGAAAATTTTAAATAAACTTTTTAAAAAATATAAATAATTATTTATTAAACGATTTTATTATTGTTACAAAATATGTTTACTCTTTTTCTTAAGGGAGTTGTGAAACTCGCTTTCCTGGATTTTTTTAGTCCATTTTAAGTAATTGTTGTAGCCAGCTTCTCTCTCTTCTCCTTGGTTGCGATGAATAGGGAAATTGATCGGGCTAGACCCATCAGATACATTCGTTGGAATTGCAATTAGAAATCTTTCTCTCTCTCTCTCTCTCTCTCTCTCTCTCTCTCTCTCTCTCTCTCTCCTTCTTTCTCTATCTATCTATCTATCTCTCTCGCTCTCTCTTTCTTTTCATGGTTCAGCTAGAAGCCTCAAAAACATTTAGAAATCTGCCTTATGATGATATGATTTTGCTACGAAACATGTTAAGGTGGAATGTTACGAAGATACACTTTTATCACACAATCATTCCTTCTCGATATGTGTTGTTTAAAGAGGGAAACCTAAGCAATGTTAATTAAATTGAAATTTAAAACGAGAATAACTTATTGGTGTAACTGTTTGAAATTGTTCATTGTGTACAGTCATCGATGAGTTATTACGCAGAAAATACCTCATAATATGAGTAAAAGAAATCATAACGTTTATTATAGCATACCTTTAGGGCACGAGAAAGTAAATTAGGCTAGCTTGCCCCAAAAGTGGGGGGGGGGGGGGGGTGGGGGAGGTTAATTGTACAATTTGCTCTATAGAATTTTTGTGACGTTACTGGGTTTGTATGTATGTATACGAGTTATCTCACCTCATCAGTCCGGATCAAAGGAATCAATTTTAATCGAACTAAATCGCAATTAATTAACAAAAGGAAAGAGAATTTATGATAATAAAGAAATCAGTCTAAAAAAAAAAAAATAAGGAAAAAAAGGGTAATGCAAATAAAATTAATTACAAATTAATAAATAATTAAAATTTCATTTATATTAAGTAAAAGTACCTTAATAATAATAAACAGGTAATTTAAAAGAAATCATTGTATAATTGAATAATGGCTTACGTGATGCATCGTCGGAAGCGCCTCCGTCGTTTACAGTTTGTTTCATAAATTACACTGTAAAAACAATAGCTATTAAATTTAAAAGAAAAATTGATTATCCAAAATTTTATCCTTTATGTTGCGTTATCTGCTTCCAATGCTGCCAGTTGATGTATATCACTTGGCAAGGATGCAGCATATCCATCAATGCGTAATCTTTCAGTAATATGTAAGAATATATTTCCAACAATGACGCAGACTTTTCTATATTTTTTCTTAAAATTTCATAAATGTTTAGTTTTCTTTATTTTTGAAGTGTACCAAAAACATTTTGATAATTGGTTATAGTATAATTGCATACATGAATTTTTTTTGGCTGAGGCGTTCGGCTTCTCTAGGCCTGCGCATATCTCCAATAGCTTCAAAGGGTAAATAATTGATTCACAATTAATCCCTAACTTTATTACTGTTCACGTCGTTCACCATCGTGTTGACATCGTATCTTTTCTTATGAGGGCAGCGAATCGTATGTTCTTGATTTACCGAAGTCTTAGGATAAGACGAAGACAATGAATGGTAAATCACAATTCATTCTATTTGATATTCTTCTTCTTCTTCCTCTATTCAGTAAATCAACAACCAAAAATTCGGTAAGATGTCCACAAAAAGACCCAATATGAACACAGAATTGTTTGTTTGAGCCTAAGTAAAGTTAAACTTTGTTTTGGTGTATTCGATATTAAAGTTTGTTGAAATTCCTACGTTAATAGGCTTCATAACAAAGCAATTCCCAAATATGTTTTAGATCGACAACTTTCAATTCACGTTAATTCAGTAAAAAGACAAAAACAAAAATAAACAAAAAATGCTGCCTACGATCTGCGAGAATACGAAGATATCTTAGTTCGAAATTTTTAAAGAAATAACGTCCGATGATATCATCAGCTCGAAAATCATATAAAATTGTCACTTTTACGGAATAAACAATGTGTCTCGTAAATAATTCTTCTTTTCACTTCAAATCATCAACGATAAATTTTTTTATTCACTAAACGTTTAAATTGACGATACGTTTCATTGCGATAATTGTCCAAAATTTCTTAAGACGCATATACATCTCCCAAATAAAAAATATCGTTACTTACTGAACACCACAACTAACAGGCATAGCAGGATCATTTTGCCATTTAAAATATGCTGGCGGCAATAGCATGAAGGATCCAAAAATAATCCCTTCTTCGCTTTCACACTTTTTGATTTTTCCCCCCCCGTGCAAGATATAAATTTGAAAAAATCGTTGCCATTATTATTATTGCTTTCATTTCGAATCTTTTACAGGCTCAGCAAACACACGCCGCCAACAATCGCAATCAATACCGAACGCCTATGGAAAATATGTTATTAAATAATCGTCAGCAGTATGCGGCGTATAATAATGCCGCCATCTCTATGCAACCGGTTAGCAATCATGGCCAGAGCAATGCCCCACCACCTCTAGTGCGTTCGGCTGGCGGGCAAAATGCTAATCATATGTAAGTGATATTATTTTGAAAAAAAAAAATATAAAATAAAATAATTTCAGAAATCGTTTACGATATCAAAATCAATATTTCTTCATATGTTTTCTTTAATATGTATTATTGTGTTTTTCAAATTTAGTTGTAATTCTTTTTTTTTTTTATATATTTATATATATATATATATATATATATATATATATCCGTATATCTGTATATATATATAATATAAATTGATTTTCAAAACTCAATCGGAGAGCGAGGTGCTCGGTTATATTTATGAGTTTCTCTCTTCAATTTCCAATGAGCACCGTTAAAATATATTGAAACATACTTTTTTTTTTTTTTTAAACCTTAAGAAAACATTTTGTTGTGCACGCATTTAATTTAGCTTTTTTCGTTATTTTTTCTCTTCCAAACGTTCAGTTGGAAAAATTTTAATTGAATAACAAATCGTATTTTACTTTTGTTGTTTTCTCTCATGCACACATATATATAAACGATATATCGAAAATCACGTTTTCTATTTTTTTTTTTTTTTTTTTTTTTTTTTATAATTTCTCCATGTTTTTCGTATTGTTGTAGTTTTTTTTGATATAAAAAGTTAACTTGCTTCGAAAATGTTTTAAAAGAAATTAAAAGAAAAAAAAAAAAAGCAGCAAAACATCGTATTTAAAGAAGAATTGATATCATATTTAAAGGCGTGCAAGTTTTTAATATTTCTAAAGCATACTTTTTTGGTTGAGATAATAATAAATGCAAAATTGAATTGAATTGAATTTAAAAAAAAAGAAATATTTACACGAAAATCTTTTGATTATGAATTTAGTATTCAAATTTTGTATTAAATTTGACTTTTATTGTTATCTAATATTCGATATCGAATTCCGATAGGTTGCCTGGAAAAAAAAGACAAAGAAAACGTTCCCGTCTTTCCATATCCTAATGGATTTCTAATGGATGTTTTTAAGAAGGCTTTGCGCAATCAGCGATATACAGATAATTTGCTCAATAGTGCATTATCCTACAAACTTGTTCTTATTGTAGATTAAAAAAAAAAAAACAAAAAAAAACAAAAAAACAAAAAATGAACGAATTCATTATTCACACGTGCTCGCAATCGATCAAATCAAGATGCTGGGATGTGTACGTGGCTTCTCTTATAAATCAAGACATCCGCTGTCCTATTTTAATCGTAGTTATATAATTTAAAATGCGTGTTACGGCACATTTTATGTTTTACTTTCATTGTATACTAAATAGTTTAGCTTTGGATGGTAACGTTATATTTTCAAAGTAATACTATTTTTCTTTCATGCATGCCTTTCCTAAAAGATATTTGTCTTTTTTTTTTTAGTTTTTTTTTTTTTTTTTTTACTTTTAAAAAAATTATTTAATTTTTTTTTTTTTTTTTATTATATTTGGTTTTTTTTTTTTTTTTTTTTTTTTTACATATATATAATTTAAATTTTACTTTTTTGTTTTATTTGATAAATTATTTGAATTAAATTAATAAAATAAACAAAAAAGAAAAGAAAAAAAAAAAAAAAAGAAACGAAAAAAGAACTACAACATTTGAAAAACATAATCAACACAATTTTCCTTCATTCCTCTACATTATTACATACGTTGAGTACCGGAAAGAGAACCAGGAAATGTACTGTCAAAATACTACTAAATACGTACCAACAACTCGTATAAGAAACACCTTTTGTTTGGTAAATGCTTCAATAAGAGATTGAAAACATTTCGCTAAACAACTCCTAGATACATTATATATAATGCGTGTACAAACAGATTTCGTTAGAGAATGTTGAAAAAAGCTTTTTGGAGCAATTTTTAAACAAAAGCGAATATTATAATAAATAAATACATAAAAAAAAAAAAAAAAAAAACCGGATTCTTAGTATTGATAATAAAATTTTCTTAAATTTTGTTTAGGAAATCGCAAAAGAAAACTTAAATTTAATAAAATGTAAATATTGTCTACATTTATATTTAAGTCAAAAGGTCCTTTTTGCAGTCCAACTTGATAATTAAATTAAAAAGAAAAACAATGCAACTCTTAAGTGGGCCATTGGTCCATTCATTCAATACGGTATAGATGATAAGTAGGTGACACTTCAGTTTAGGGAAAACCATTTCAAATCTTCTTTCCAAAGATTGTTCAATAGGATTACAAGTTCCATGAAATGGAATTATTAAGTTTACCGTACCGATTAGAGAATTATTTCATGGCCAATTTATTATATATACTGCATTCACCGCTAGATTAAATATTAAAGAAGACGAGGTGCATAAGAAAACATTTGAATGCGTTTTCTTGAAATTATCTCGCGTATATGTGTGTCCATAACACTTTTTAAATAACTTGTTATTAAGAAAAGAGAGTGGGTTCGTTGAGAGGAAAATTAAATAGTGTAATAATATTCGCTTTTTGTTTTTAAAATTGAGTCAAAAGAGTATTTACAATTAAATTTGAAAAATAAATATTTTTTTTTTTTTTTTTTGTTTTTTATTAAATAAAATGAAAATGCATAGAAGAATTTAACAATTTGACTGAAAAAGTAAGCAAATCACAGAAAAAAGAAATTGATTTAAATTTCGATCAATCATCCAAACCATGTATATAATGTTTCTAGGTCTAGTGTCGAGCAAACGTTGCTGCATCAACAACAACAGCAAACACAACTACAACAACAAAGACCCAGTACACAACAACAACAGCAACAAAGACATATCAATGTTAAGTTAAACATAAACATGAAATCCTTACTATCATCTCCAACATCCATGAGTTCCCCGAAAATGTCGCCCATGATATCACCCTCCACACCTACAGGTGGTAACAGTGCCGCGGCGGCAGCTGCTGCTGCTACCTCGGCGGCACTGTTGACCAATAATTTCAATTTAGCCCCTTCGGCTCCTTCTACACCGCAAGACTATAATAATTTGGCATTGTGGAATCAGTTGACTCCCTCTCAACGTTTATTGTTGACTCAACAATTTAAAAATACGGGTAGTTTTTTGGGTGCGAATGCGAAACCTACATTTCCATCTCTACCGTCGCTTCCGTTAGATACCGATCTGATAACTATGTTAGATTATAATCCCAATAAAGTGAAAGGGTCGGGTGCAAACAGTACGAACGCGCATTCTATGGGGCAATCGTATCATCATTCGAATCTCACTATGAGCCCAAGAACGAATGGGCAGTTTACTAAACCTCACGTACCGCCTTTAATACCGGTGAATTCGTTTGACGCGAATTCACAAAGAAAATCGAATCGTATGCCAGGCAGCTCCTCTACCGTACCTTTGAATTCTTCGGCCGCTTTAGAAGATTTTGAAAAAAAATTCAAAATGAATGATGAAATGCGAGCAGTGGTACAAAAAGTATTATCTAATCCCGATCTTTCAACTTTCATTCAAACAAATACTTCGAACACTTTTGTGCCATTTATGTCACCGCCGATGTCTCCGGCGAATGGTGGTCATGCTAATAATAGCACTTCAGTATCTATTGTACCTAATCCCCATGTGACCATAACACCTCAATTGCCCGCTCATTTCAATCATAACAATGCCGCGCATTCGCCTTCAGCTTCTTCAGCTTCTTCTACTTCATCGTTAACAGGAAGTGGTAGTGTTAGTCGACAGAAAAGCGTTATTTGCTCGACGGGCGTCTCAATGTTAACCTCACCCGCTGGTTCTAGTTGTAATTCCTCTGCCTCCCATTCTCCTTCCCCGAATCGGACGAAATCGACTTACGCATATAATCAATCACAGCATCAACAACAACTTTCCTCTTCTACACCCACCACACCTATGGAAGTAATTGATTTATCTTCCCCTCGAAGGTCCTTGCAAGCAGCATCTGTATATCTGCAACAGCAGCAACAACAACAACAACAGCAGCAAGCTGCCGTAGTAGCTGCCGCTCAACAACAACAGCAACAGCAAGCACAGCAACACCGTTTGGCAGCTGCTGCTGCTGCGGCAGCAGCGGCCGCCCATCATTCCCAACCAAATGGCCGCAACGCGTCTGCTCAAGGCACCGGCAGCAATAACTCGAACAATAACAATTCGGCTAGCATGCATTTACAACGACACGCAGCTTTGGCGGCAGCAGCTGCCGCTGCTTCTGAAAGCACTCAACGCTTGTCAATCATTCCTGAAATACCCGCCAATAATTTGAATGTGCAGCCGTATAAAATGCAAAAGGTTTTCGTGGAGAATCATCTCGTACCCTGCATTAATATGAAAGCGTATAATGATTCAGAACAATTAATGACTTTGACTGATTTTCAAAAGTATTTTTTCCCCAATGTACCGCTTGATCAATGTAAATTCTTAATAGAAACTTTAGACGTCGAACTGTACCGGGGTAATAGGTAAGTAATTAAAAATAGCGCTGCCAGTTGAACGAACTGAACTCATACCGATCTTTGTTTGTATTTTTTAGACGCCAAGTCCAGGTACTTATGGAACATGATCGTAGTCAAAATGAAAATATACCGCTGGTTCAAGTGCGTGATGTTATTAAATACATGACACAACTGACTTTTATGATAAGAAATAATACCCAGCCACCAAACAAACGATCACGTATAAGCTAGGAATTGAGTTGGGGAGGACAACATATAACAACAACAACAACAACAGCAACATCATCGTCGACATCAGCAGCAGCAATCACAGCAAACGCAATAGCAGCGCTACATGAACATCAACAACAATTACAACATCAGCAGTCATCCCAAAAACACCAACAACAGCACACACATAACACACATAGCTCAGACAACAATAATATACCACGCATACCTTTAGCACCGCCACCGCCACATCCGCTTGATATGTTGTACTCCCAACACAGTCGTCAACACCAACAACAGCAGCAACAACACGTTCTGCAACAACAACATCAACAACATTTATTGAATAGTAACCATATAATGGAAAAATCTAACCAAAGTAAATCTTCATCTTCTTCGTCATTATCATCGTCATCCGCAACAAGTTCTCATAAAACTCACGGAGCAAGTAGTAGTTCGGCTACTTCACTGCGTACCACAACAACAGCTCAACAATTGGCAGCGGCAGCTGCAGAAAGTGCAGCTGCATATTATACAGCAGCAGCCGCAGCTGCAGCAGCGTCAATGCTTAATCCTGCTCTAAATGCTACTTCCGCAGCCGTAAATCCATTTGCTAATCCTTTAGATTGGTTAGGAGCATGCAATGGTCAAAAGCGTTCATCGAGTAACGTTCAGTCAGCTACAGTTAATAACAGTAGCCGTACGGCCGCTAATGGAAATACGAATAGTACTGCGACAACAGACTTTATGTCAATGTTTAGCAGTCACAATTCAGCACATACTCATGCCAATGTTAACGAGTCAGCATTACATCAGAGGTCGTCGTCGAATGCAAGTTCTTCTTCAATGGCCTCCAGCTCATCATTGGGCGGAAATAATGGGCATCACAAGACTTCATCTGCCGCACAAACGACAGCAACAACCGGTACGGGTAATAGCAGTGTGGCAACTGGTGCTTCAGCTTCATCTTCTTTGGCAGCGCATGCGGCGGCTGCCTCAGCGCTGTTTGGAACTGTGGCACCATTTTCAGCACCTTCATTGGTCAATCCGTATCCACATTTGGCGCATGGTGCTCATAGCTTGCCATCGCCCACTATATATCCACCTACACCACCACCCTCAGCGCCATGGATTCATCCATGGTACGCAGGTGATACGTTTTAAGGAAGCTAAAAATTAATTTAAAAAATAATTTACATACAATGAAGAAAATTTAATGAGTCCTTCGTGTGTCTCCCCAACTTTCTCAATCTTTTCTTAAAAATCTTACTTACTTAGTGATTAATAATTTTTATTTCGTCGTACATTTGTAAATGAATACTAAAATAAAAAATAATTATCGAAAACATAAATTTTCAGAGAGATAGACAGAGATAGATAGATATAAAGGAAGAGACCCGTTTATTTTATTTTAAAAATTTATTAATTTGTGTAATCGTACAAATATTGTTAACGCATCGCAACGGGCACAAAAAATCTTTTTTTTACATAAGTGGTACTTATTTTATTTTTAATAACATTCAATTATCATCTCGCCTACACTACTCTCCCTGTTCAAATTTCTTCGTATATAACTAGAATGTTTTTCTTTCTTTCCTATTACAACATATCTTAAAAGAAAATGTTATTTTGTTTTCTATGAAAACTATTCAGTTAAGTTTTCTGTTTAAATGTTCCATAAGGAGTTTAGCTTCTTGCTCTTCTGGCAAAGAAAAAAAAAAAAAAAAAAAAAAAAATTATTCCGCTAACGAAACAAAGTTTACTGATATAAGTAGACCTGACCAGATAGCTAAAAATTGAAAAGAAAAAAAAAAAAAAGAAAAAAACAATTTAGTATATTTAAAATTTTCTAACTTTAAAAAAAAAAAAAAAAAAAAAAAAAAATGAAATTGCGAAATTTTAAAGGAAAGCAACGGAACTGATAAATATATTTATTTCAATTGAATGAAAATTACTTACTGTTAAGCATTTCTTCATCTTCTGTGGAGGAAGTTCGTCCCCTAAGTTATCTCAATTAAACGAAGAATTCTTCGTTTATTGGCCCTCAAAAATATTTAAATAGATTGATAAATCAACTGTAAGCTGAAGAAATGTAATTTCTTGTCTACCTATACATCATGTATATATATAAAAAAAAAAAAAACAAAAAACAAAAAAGCAAAATGTTATATGTAACTATAAGATGTTTATTTTTCTTTTAATAATTTAATTACTTAATTTATATAAAGTACGTTAAAGTGTATAGCAATATTGATAAAAAAAAAAAGTATTACAGATATCATAATAAAATACATTATTTTAAAATAAATAAAAAAATAAAAAAAAATACAAAATAGCACTTAAAAGTTTTCCGAAAGGAAATTCTAAAAATATTCGCATGATTGTAAAGAAAGAAATAATGAATGTTCCAAACGATGTATGAAAATTATTATAATAAAAGTATAATATGGAAGAAAATATTTGAGAAAAGTGCAAAAATACCATCTGCGTAAAAACATATGGAATTGAATTGAAAATAAATAGCGGCATGATGCAACACTCCGGGATTCATTACATACACTGCTGCTTTGATAACTAATTTCTGATATTAGATTTTATGATTTTCTTTTTTTTTTCTTTTTTTTTCTTTTTTTCTTTTTTTCTTTTTGTTAATCTATCCATTAGCTCTTGTTTTAAACATTTTCAAAAAGGAAACGAAGCTTATTCTCGACAAATTTTGCAAAAAGAAAAATCGGACGTAACTTGAAAGCCATTAAAATTTCTTCATCCTCTACTCTTCTTTGCAATATTAAATGATGGAAATGATTTTTCTTTTCTTTGCGTTTGCCTCGTTAATATTTAAAGTGTAAATTGGAAAATACCTTTCAATATTTTGGGTATTTAAATAAATTTCAAGTAACCGTTGACCTTCGTGACGGCTCTGATAGGTAATCCATAATTAAGTGGGTAGTAATCTATGGATTGCGTTACTAAAATAATTACCCGGAGACTAATTGTTTAGAATTTACTTAAAACAAACCTGAGAAAAGATCAATCTCTAAAATTATATAAGTAAAGGTGAACAGTATCACCATTGACTACTCGCGTTTTAATCTCAATATCGTTTTTCAAAACCACATCCAATGAACAGTAAGAAAATGAAAAAATTTGCAAGAATTCGCCTTGACCATACTATTACAATTCACCGATGTATCCTTCAGAGATCTGTTCATCCCGAATTTTTCATCCTGGATATAATCTTACGATTAAACATGTACTTTTGTGAATGGCAAAATCTTTTCAAAATTTAAAAATCCATACTCGGATCATCAAAACTTATAAACAAAATTTTAAAGTACCTCGAACACACATAATACCTATATATGTAAGTTAACAGTAGTTAACTTTACTAAAATGAGTAGACTGAGTGATCTGATCCATATCTTTTTTTAAAAATAAAGCCGACCGTCTTAGCTGCTAGTGTTCAGTTCACTTTACTTCTAGAATTTCTTTCTTTCATATATAGAAAATAAATTATCAATAACTCAATGCATGAGTTCCTCGCATATATAAGTATTAGCTCATAAAACCAATTAACTTATGGAGAGAATAATGCTCGATTTCTTTCTGCACATGAAACTTGATTTTTCAAATATTACTTTATCGTTATTATTGCACGACCTATACGATTATGTAGCATTACAATTTTTTTCACACAATCTATGTTTTGACCATCAGCACTATAATCGCAAAGTTCCTTTTAAACCAATACTTGTTGTCTTTCGAAACTATCCATTCTTTTCATCAGCCTTCTTATAAATCATTCCCAAAACATGCAAAAAATATGGAATAATATCTGGCGATTATGCTCGCGTCTAATTTGTCTTAATAATTTCGATTTTTAAAGTTTTCTCTTATCAACACTAGATAACCAGATTTAGGTTTTTTTCAACTCTGCGTATAATTATTGTTAAATGAAAATTGTATTTATCTTTTTATTATAGATAATTAAAAATTTGTACATTGATATTCATTCATATAATTTCACGTTCTATCCATCCGTATAAGCAGTCGAATAGGCAAATGATCTCGGCTAACAACACAATCGTTGCGATTTCAAATCTGAAAATTTTAAGTGCAGTGCAGTGTTTTCAATGCATGAGAGCAGGTTGTGAACGAAGTTATACGATAGCCTTACAAAATCCATACTTAGGAAATTTATTTACAAACTATGCAGACAATGAATAAATCAAAAAATTCCATCTCGTTTCGTTTCACTAGCACTTTGAGTTCTCTAATTTGCAATCATCAAATTAAGCGACATAATTCAAGGGCTGTCTTGTCTACTTAATCCTCTAAGCCTAGTTGCTTGCCTTTGTAAGACTTTTCGACCTATCGTTATGTTAGATTTATACGACATATTTCATAAAGTATTATATTATACTGTTGCAAATCAGGATTCACTTCAAGTGACAAGTTGAAAGAAGTTTGCGATCTGTCCGTCGATTGTTAACAATATATTAGATGTATAAATAAATTTTGTGTATATGTAAAATTTGAATTTAATTCAAAACTGCTTGTTATCTCAAGCTTAAGAATCAAAATATTTGCCATTGTTATCGATGATCTTTTTAGCTTCTATCGGCTGCCTTGCGCATGTACTACTTCGCAGCAGTTTGGAGACGCACGAGAATATTCATCTCTTCATGCCTTGATATGCGTTGAACGATAGCTTGTAAACAGTTAGAGTTTATATCGTACAAGCACCCATATCTAAACTAGGGACAACCGATATCAATGTGCATCATGTGAACACTGTTTTCGTACTTCTTCAAGTTAAGCTTTATTCAAAGATTTGAAGAATAATTTTATGGATTATTTATCGAATCAGTTTTAATGCGACAAACGAAGTGGAGCGGAAGATTTTCAATATCAATGATTTGACTAGAACTTTCAACATTGATTGGATTGGCTTTCTTTAAATTTCTGCAATGCAAAAGATACTCTTAACCGATAGTTTAGTTTTTTTATCGAAAAAAAACTTACTTGAAATTCTAGTCTATGACATCGTTTATTAAAGGAAATATTGAATCCTTCACGGAAACTAATCAAGCGAATAGCCTCTATCACCTCTATCCTAGATACTCAAATTCTTTGCCAAGGAAACGAAGAATATATTTGCATCTTCAGTTCAATCAGTCGCAACTAATTCAGATTTTTCCGAAGGAGAAATTGAATCATCTCTTGCAAAAAACTCGACTTGGGCAGCTGCTTACGAACAAGGGTCATTGTCTAAGCAACTTTGCTGATTCAAGCAAATTAAAGAGTTTACGAGTTGCAACTAAATTCCTGTGATAGCTATCGACATATTCTGTGTGCATCAAAGTGTACGGTATTACTTCAACGCGCTAAAGCATTTCAGGCAAATGATGCAACTGTCTTTGCAGTTTCATCTTCAGCGGATGAGAATAGTAGTATGGATTCACCGCTGTCTCAAGCCCAGAAAGATTATTGCATCATTGAATTATTTGCTCTTTATTTTTGAATGCTTGAGTTAAATGGGCGAGCCATTCGCTGCATTGTCAGGTTATTCGATTTCTTTGTAAAGTAATTATATTTCATAGATGAATTATTAAAGAGAATTTCCCATCTGCAATTGTCGCAAGCTCGATGGTATTGGAAATTCTTTCAGTCTTTTTCAATTTATATGAGCCTTCTTCGATTTCATTACAGCATAAAAACGAGCGTTGTCATCTCGGTGGAAACTAAGCTTGTGTTAATCGCTTACTATTCCTTACTTTTATGTTTAATCAAAATCTTCCCTAAAATATTCATTGTTCAGCTAGCAAGTTTGCAACATTACTCTTACATCACCGTATACAATAAATAGATCTTAACAACCTACTATTATGCTTAACTTTTTGATCTTAACATAATGAATCATAGAAAAATTCTTTGCGATTTGAAGCTCGTTTTCGTAGCCCTACTCTTTTCATGCGGTTCATGTTTACTGCCTCCCCTATTCCTGACAACTTGCGCGCCCGCCTTGCTCCACCAGTTGTAAAATTTCATTCACAGCATTCTTACCGTACACTTTACGAATTTTTTGAATGTTGCATCCCGCAGAAAAAGTCTTAAAAATGGCACATACTTATCACCTTCTCTAAGCGTATGAGACACTGTTCTCATTGCCTGGGTCTACTCAAAGTAAACATTGAAAAAAAAAGAAAATTTTATAGGGAAAATCAACATTTTGCTTGATTATTTTTTTTCCAGCATGAAATGTAAAAAAAAATGTTTATTAAAAATTAAAAAAGTTTAATTATATGCTTCACGAAATAATTATTATTTTCTGTTTACATTGTTATGCTTTTTTATTAAACGTTTCGTGTGAGTTCTTTACAGACATTCAAGTCAATTTAATTTAATCCGTCTATCACGAGTCCTTCTTTCCCATAAACTCAATGCACTCTAAGCACGAGCCATATAAAAAGTAAAATCGGTGTTTAGTGAAGTAGTGAGCTGCAAAAGATTCATTTCATGCTGAATGAAACTTTGTTAATTGCTTTGCGCGAATCTCATTTAGTTTCTGAATTAAGTGAATCAGGACGGTTGCGATTTTTGGAACTGATAATAGATTTACATTATTTTGAAACAAGAAAAATTCTTTCTATCAGTCAGTTAAAATACTTATTTTTATTTTATTTATTTATTTTTTATTATTAAATTTCACAAAGATTTATTTACAATTTTTAATTCATTTACGCTAAAATATTTATTCATTTTACTAATTATAGTTTAAATAAAACAAGTAAGAGCATTAAAGTCGGGCAAGGCCGACCATTCTTACTTTTGTATGAAATTACTATTGTGGGTCAGTTTTTATCAGCACATATTAAAACTTCGACTTTTCTGCTTTACAAGGGATCAATTTTCGTGAAAATTTTCACTAGATTAGGATCCAAAAAATAGGTGGCGATGGTTCAAATTTGGTACAATTCATTTTTGTAACCTAAATTACTATTATTATATAATTTTCATCATGAAGAATTGAAAATTATACCTTTTTGTCGCATGAACTTCAGTTTTTATTATATGAGAGCGGATTCAAAAATTGCCCCGGCCGATCCAATTTAGAACGCCGAAAGGCTACTACTTAACCACTTTTGCCGCGAAATTTCGAAAATTGAGTGATCGAAAATATGGATCAATCCGAACCATTTTCAGTAGCGTTCGTCTTTCGGTCAAAACACGTCACTGTACCAAACTTCACCAAAATATGTCAAAAATTGCATTTTTAGCTTAAAAAGATATTTACATTGACAGACATCAGACGAACATACGGACAGAGAGTCTTAGATCAATTCAGATTATGATTCTGAATCGATAGATATAATAAAAGGTGAGTCTATTTTAAGCCCATCTGCGTGTTACATACGACCGTACTAACTTAATATACGCTGTACCACATGCTGTGTAGGATATAATTATAAGTTAAACGATAGAGATAATATCGTCCGCAAAAGACAATGACTTGATAAGGATAAATTACCCAAGTCAGTCGGGCTGTCGAAAATTTCTTCCAGTCCAAACCAAGCACCTTTTACAAGTAAGAAATTGATAAACTGCCAGGAAGATGGGAGAACGTCACACATTATAAATTAATAAAATTCTGTTATTCAATGAAAACAAAATACAGAAATTACTTATGATTCGTTATTTTTTCTTGTGCGTTGATTTCCTTTATATACACAAGCAAAACCAAAGGGTTTGTCAATTCGTATAAAGTTTTGCGAAGAGACGACAATTTAAAAGTTCCAACCCGACAAACAGGAATACTGCCACTTCGTGTCAACTCCTCTAACTAAACTCATTACAACAAACAATTATTTCGCATTATAAATTTATTTTTACTCTATACTATACAAAAAGTGTTGATATATTGATGCGATGTTGTATTTTCCATATAAAAAATCAATCAATAAGTTGTTAGGATCACTAATAAAACAAAAATTTTAAGGCAAAATTCGACATTGTTTATTAACATAATTTCGTACAATACTCGTGAATAGAGTATTTAATAAAACTGATAACCTTAGATACTGCTGGTTCAAGACGTTCCTCTTAGAGTTTACTTTTAGTGAGTAAATTAATAATAATAATAATTTCGTGCTATGCCTTCCACGTAGAACGATTTATCTAATCCTTCAAAATGCACATCAATTTCGGCGATCATCTACTCATTAACAGACCACTTCTCTATCAATTGTCTTAATGGACCAGAGATCAAGTAACACTTGTCAAGCTAACTTTGCTTTCCTTGAGAAAAATATATTTTCCCCATTAAAAAATCGACACTTTTTCCCTTTTTTGTTAACACAAATTCTGATTTTTCCATTGTTTTGAAAATTATAAAAGTACCGTCACTAAAACATCTGTAACTTGTAAACCAATTGTCGGAATGTCATCAAATTTTGACACATGTCGCTTAAAGCTTCGTACTATGTGAAAATTATATAGTTTCGTCAATAGTGGCGAACTTATTGAGAGATATGTTATTATTGAATTTTCCTCCGCTATCAGCAACATTACCTATACTAGGAAAAGCTATTGTTGTTGTTTGGTTAGCGTTGTGATCGGCCTTAAGTTTGATAAGGTTATCATGATTCAATACAACGGACAAACCACGCTAACAACAGTTCTCATTTAGCGCCCTACCGCCTGAAGTAGGTGGACAGACTGTAACGCAAATCTCATCCACGAAATACGATAAAAAATGAAAGAAACCGAAACGAAAAATAACAAATATTTGAATGAATAAAAAAGCTCACTATTATCAGTAATCAATTAATTATAAGGAAGGATAAAATTTCAATACGAATTGAAAATTATTAATAAACGTTTTATTCACTTGCGTATTTACTTTATTTAAGATTTAATTCTTTTAAATTATCTCACGGCACACTTCGATGGTGGACGTTTTCTGTTCGAATTAAGTTACAAATATACTATAAAGATCATTGGCATCCTTTAGAAGGCTCATTGGCATGTAATCAATAGTCGTAGCCACGCCAATTGTCGTCATAATTACAATAACAATGCTACGCCTACTGAAATAATCTATTCGGTCTTTAAGAAATTTCATTGATTGTCATGCAAATCAAAGCGTTCCGTTCAGAATTCGTCAAGCAATGTTTTAATACTTAATCTTGACTTATAAGCGATCACATTTCTCTTTATTTTTAGCAATATCTGTGAAAGGGTGTGTGCGTGTGTACGAATATAACCGGCTTTCCAGCGTAAAGACGCCAGGCACATCAGCTTCCACAAAGGCGTTCTATTCGTCTTTCCCCTGCTAATTCCCATTCAACCACAGGTGTTGACAAATCAAGCATATAGACTTTAAAGCGTACTAAGCGTGCGATTCCAACGTTCTTGTCATAATCATCAGTATTCGGTAAAGAATTCGATCTTATCTTCATTTGCAAGGAAACAGAGAATATTCGACGCACGGAAAATACCCACATGTCAATAAAAATCATCGCATAAAGTTACGTGAGTGTCATTTATTTCCTTCAAAGCAACTTAACAAAAACCTAACAAGGTTTATGCCACTCTGTATGGTATTATGATTCAACTGTAGCCTAGCGATACTAAGCTGTTAAAGCTTGCAAGAAAGCTTGCATAAATGCTTGAAAAGCATGTTTTGTATAGACCTGCTTTTTAATCTCGGCAATGACTCCAACGTGATGATCCTTTCATAGCTCTATCTATACCAACTACTTGTTATAATTAATATACTTTCCAGCCCACAGAGACAGCCTTACAGAAGGCATGTATATTGCTGAAGGCATTCACATACACCTTTAAAAATTACACAGTTCATATATAATTGAAAAGTTGGAAAATTCAAGGAATGCATAGGTCATTTAAAAGTTGGATATACCGATAAGAAAAAGAAAGTCAAGTTTATCAAAGTGCAACACTTCTTATTTTTTTCTTTCTATCACTAACACATGTTTTCTGCTACTAAAGTATTACAACTACGTAAATGAGCATATTAATTCACCACTTATATATTCGCCATATTGTCATCACTCTTGTAAAGGAATAAAGCAAAGTATTTTATTATCAATTGTGCTCTTCGTAAAGAAGTTCTCGCAGAATAGTCAAAAAGGGCATTCATAAGAAATTGTAAAGCAAGGTAAAGTCTCAAAGAAAGATCAAAAAGGGCAGTCATAAGAAATTGTAAAGCAAAAGGTAAAGTCTCAAAGAAAGATCAAAAAGGGCAGTCATAGAAAACGTACAGCAAAGTAAATTTTATTCTCATTAGACGCAGAAAAACAAACTGGAATTTTTTTCTCTTGTACAAAAGGAGAAGTTCGCCATTGATAAGGGTTGCCATAACTTAAAAAAAGATTCATCATTGACTTAAAACTTATATGTAATCCAAGTTCTGGCAACTCTTTCTGGTGTTTTTGAAGAAAAAAAATATAAGTGACAAAACTTTTACAGATTAATTGCGCTAGTGAGTGTTGTCGCTGAGTTATACATGCAAAGTAAAGTGAATCTACTACGACAATCTTCATAATACTTGTAAATTTTTAACTTGAGAAAAAAAGTGTTCATTATTGAATAGTTTTTTTTTTAATTTTTCCAAATTTGTGGTTCAAAAATAAATTTATTCAACAAGTGAAACGTGAATAGATTTAAAAAAATTGACAGGTGAGCTATGCAAAATTGAATTTATACAAATAATATTGTGCATGAAAGAATGAAAAGTTAGGTTAAAAACGGGTTTGTGAAATACAATGCATGAAAATTTCTGGAAACTGCTTGGTAGCAGGAACAGTAAATATGCGAGGTGGCTTTCTTTGTGAAAATTTGACCTTTACGGAATAAAATGAGGGAGCAAGAATGATTGTTTGTGAACGTCATTGTAGACGTGTCTGCCATTACGATTCAGTAAAGTATTGGGAAATTTGACTCACTTAGCAACTGCATGCATTTGAATATATTTATTCTTACATTTTAATAATGCATATAACATATTTTTTGATAATTTTTTGAGACATTGTAATCATCTGCTTTTCTTTTTTTCTTTTTCGTTACAGTATATTTCTTTAAAAGACGTAAAAGCCTTTGTGCTATTTGCAACGACTTCTTTAACCTTACGCTACAAAAAACAACCATATTGCATTTTTCTTTTAAAAGAAACAAGTGTTTTTTATTAATTATTCATTTATTGTATTCTACTCTCAGCTCGTCACGCACAAACAAAATCTAAATTTATGGTTTTTTGTTTTCAGGAAATAAAAGGAAAAAACAAATTTTTGTCAATAAATATTTTCCTCTTAATCTCTACTCGTGTGTAAGGCGTAAACTGATTGTAAATCCTTCCCATTTCTAACTTAAAGCCTAGAAGATCTCTCTTCTGCTGACGTATAAAAGTCTTGTTTGACCTGTGGATATATTTGCGCACCCCAAGCAGGGGATACCGACTGTTTTATATGACTTTTGAAAGAATAAGTGGTAAGTGATCGTTGATTTTAATTAAATATACTTTATTATGAAAAAAATGTTCGATATTTACCGAGAAACAATGCAAAATTTTGAAAGCGTTTATTTTATCAGTTATTAAAAGAAAAGATATATTTATAAACTCACCTTACTTCCTACAGCATTAACGATTACATATTTTTAACCAATCGATTAATGAAAGAAAAAGCGAATCGGGAATTGACCGCAAAATATATACTTCAGTTTAAGAATATATATACATATAGATATATAATTATATACCAGATTGTTGCTAATGTTTTCGGAAATTTAAAAAAAAATTTTTTTCAATTGATTGAATACTTTTCCTGCTTTTACTTCTTTCGACAATTTATTTGCTAGTCTTCAAAAATGATTAATAAAAGCAAATTAGCAAAAATAGATTTCATCAATCAATTGGTAAATTCACGCATTTTTTACGTGACCCTTTTCCGCCCAAAGTTTCAAGTTTTTTTTTCAAAAACTATGTAACGAGAAACTTATTTATCACTAAGCTAAAGGGATGACAAAGATGATTTTATAAAAAATTAAATGTTTTACACCTTTGAGCGAGTTTGGATAGCGATCGTTTGACTAGAAATATATTACATTTCGAAACAGGTTTACACAAGAAATGATTTGACAATATGAGAACAATTATCAGATTTCTATTTCAATTAGTTCTTACTTTTGAAAACTGAACCAATTGATATAGTTGAACGTATGTAATGTAAGCCAGAATTGCATTTTGTTATTTTGTTATTTTCAAAGACCGGTTTTTCTGCTTTTTAGTGTGGTTCATGTTTCGTTGCGTTTTTACAACTTGGAAATTTTTGTATTGCGTGACCCAAAATTTATTGAAATAATAATGCAGCGCAGCCATGAAGCGTAACTGGTGTAAAAATGAATAAAAAATTTATAAAATGCTATAAAACAATTATATCCTCCACTGTCGCTGCAAATGTACTAAAAATTTGTAGTAAACTTCATTAACTTGGTATAATTGTGAAAAGTAGGCTAAGGTTCTACCAAAAGACTATGAAAATGTTGCCTTTTTCTCTCTATGAAAGTGGCGTTAACTCTCTTTCATATTATGGGAGAGCGAAAAGAAAAATGTCAATATGAGAAAAATATCCTTTATCGTTCCCAAAGCCTAGAAATATGCTGTGTATTAAAACACATGTTCATTTTAATTCCAGTGGTCAAGCTCAACGGTTGAATAGTAAAAAATAAATTATATACATATTATATATATTATACATATATATATATATTTTAATAATAAATATATATATATTTTTATAATAAATATGTATATATATATATATATATCTACATTTCTACCTTTATCACAATAAAAAGATTTTTTAAAGAGTCTTAGAGATTGTTGTCAATTTCTTCTTTCATTTTATAATAAAAAAAAGAAAATTACTAATATTCAAAGAAAGAAGTATAAACCTATCAAACCATTGAAGAGCTTGATTGCTGTTAAATGTTAGAAAACGAACAAATTTATTTCAAAGGAAAAAAAAAAATTGTCCATTGTACTAGTGCGTGCGTGTGCGTATAGTATTTAATATAACATAAAAAAAAAAAAATTTCTATTTTTAGCCGAGTGCAATTTTTGTGGTCATATCTGCGTGTTAGTGTATTGAAAAAAAGGAAAACTGAAAGTTATCGAAGAAAAACCTTAACGTATCAAGAAATTCTGCGCCCTGGACATATCTATATATATATACATATATACACATATATATAAATATATATATTTATATATATTGGTGCGTGTTGTTCTTGTCATAAATCAGTTAGTTTTTTCATAATTATTTCGACATTGTTGAGGAATAAAAGCAGAGAGCGTCATCATATGGTGGACTCTTTGTCGTTAATAAGATTTGCGGCCTCCTACGCCTATCACAAACCCAACTCAAGTAAGTTCTTTACTTCGATCAATTTTTTCGAGCTAGTAGTGAAATATATATACATATACATATATATAGTAATAGCATAGGGTTTTCTAAATGTGTTTGTGCACATATGTGTACACATATATGCTCGCACACAAACCCATAAATAGGTGGAAACTCAATTTCAGTTAAATGTAAATAATTCTTTCATATGCAATATGCAACACGAGAAAGAGAAAACAAGAAAAAAAAAAGAGATAATAAGAGAACGTCATAATATGATAGACCCTTTTTCGTTAATAAGATTTGCGACCTCCTACGCCTATCACAAATTCAACTCAAGTAAGTTCATCACTTGGATGAATTCTTTCGAGCTAGTAATGAAAAGACTATATATATATATATGTATGTATATATATATATTCATATATATTTTTCTTCTTTTCATATGTTAAAAATCAATATTCCTTTAGACGTATGCATACACATCTGTACGACCCTATCTCGTATTTAAAACGGCCTCGTCTTTATATACTGTTTACTATTTTTCTCTTCTCTTTAATCAAGTGTAACAATAGCTTGTATGTGTATGTCATCCAAGGAAATTCTTTAGTAACATTATTGTGATGAGAGTCGCACGATAATACAGACTTTTGTTTCTTTCCTTTTTCATCATGTAAGGCCATTCATGCTTACTTCTTCTCCAGCATAAAAATCAATTTTTATGTCAAAAATATATCGTAGCTTTTATAAACACAATTCAAGTTTGTAATGGCTAAAATTGGTCATGTATGTGTGCGTGCAAACTTATTAAAAATTTTCAAATAATCAGAGGCATTAAATGAAATGCGCATTTCGCAAAACTTTTTTTTTTATTTAGCATAAACTATCTTTCGCTATCTATAACATAAGCATATTCTTAATGACCCATCGATTTCTATGGGAATTTAAAGTTAATTAAAATGGGCAGATTTAGGTATCAATTGAAGAGGTTTTGAAAATGTAAGTTGTGCACACTTATGAAGATCGAACATGAAATATGGACAACAAAATTCACTTAATCGGTTACGGGGCCTTGAGTTCGAAATTACAGCCTTAACACTTTTATACACTGCATGTGAAGACATAGAGTTAAGTTGTGTTAGACAGTTTTTAGATTGAACAACGGGTACCTAGCTTTAAGTTATTATTTTGAAAACCTTTCTTTTTACTACGTTACTGAAAATTTGTTTAAAAATATTTCGATTAATAATTTCGCTTCAAATATTCAAGATATCTACTTATTTTTTTTTTCTTTGTATTGTTTAAATAAATTTTCGCATTTTTTATATATTCTAGAAACACCAGTATACAAAGGAGCACCTCCATCTCCACCTCAACGGAGCAAGTTCGTTAGTTCGTGCATGAATTCACATCGGCGTTGTTTAAGTCATAGGTAAGCGTTGAAGTGTATTATCTCTTGTTTTTTCCTTGTTTTCTCTTTCTCGTGTTGCATACTGCATATGAAGAAACTCTTTACAGTCAACTGAAAATGAGTTTCCACCTATTTATGGGTTTGTGTGCGTGCAAATATGTGTGTTATCGTATGTGAACAAGCTTTTAGAAAAACCCTACACTACTACATATATATATAAAAAGATATATATATATATATGGATATATATGGGGAAGGGGGGAAGGGTTTGCGGTCTATCCATCAATTAAGCATTTTTGAATGTGTTATTAGGAGGCTGGGATTGTTCAAAATTGAAACTTGAAAATTAAAGTCTGTCCGATACAGTATGAGACTTGGTCCGATCCGCCTGAGAATAAATACGTCATTTAGAAGCATTGCTTTCAAATGAGAACAAAATATGCACACACAAACACCTTTGCTGTCATCAATTGCATAAAAATTGCTCGCCAAATCGTACAAAAATTTAATTTTTATATATATGCTTATGATAGATGGTGTTTCACACTTTGCCGGAAACATTCTTCCTTTTTCACTGTCTTTACAGGTGTAGTGCAATTTATTTATAATACAATATATGTTATGTCTGTTGTGTCTCTTACAGGACTTCAAAATTTTCTAGTAATAGACATCGGAAGCTGCTACCATTTAGAGAAACGTGAGGCTTTTACCTACGTTTATTAGCCCCGTCGTTTAACGAATTCTAAAAATAGTTATTTTTTTTTTTTTTTTTTTAATTAACCAACCAATCAAATACTACCGCAATCCACACAAAATAATATCATAATAATATGAATAAATGTAATAATCAGAGAAAAGAATCAAAAGGAAAATTTAAAAAATATTAAAATATCTCATCCAACCAACAACAACAAGCACATCCTCCTAGGAGTGAAACTTAATTACACAAAAAAATAAAAGCATTGCATAAAAATTTCAAAAAAAAAAAAAAATAAATAAAAATAAAAATAATATCATCAATCCACTACAACAAAAAGCCATTTCATAAATAAAACGGCAGTTGTTGCAAATTGTTTGAAGGAAATTAAGAAAAATAAATAAAATACTATTTAAAAAAAAAAAAACAGCAACAACAACAACAACAACAACAAAATCATAAACATAAAATTGATAGAAAGAACTGCGTTTGAACTATAAAAAGGATTTGTGAAAGATTCAAAAAAGAAAAATAAAAAACTTACAACAACAGTTATTATAATTTTGTTGAAAGCCCTTGTAAAAGACTAACAACAACAACAACAACAAAACAAACTTCATGAATTTTATAAATAAAAATTTATATAATAAATCAAAAAATAAAAATTTAAATCCTGCGTCATCTACACGTGACGACATCATCATCGGTAGGAAGACACGGGAAACGTTGTCAATCTTCCCCAACAACAACAACAACGATCGCGTCAAGCATCAAGCATTTTCGATGAAAGCATAAGAAGTCCAAATTATTTTTTTGCTACAAACTACAGCAAACAATACCAATAAACAAAAAAAAAAAAAAAAGAGAAATTGGCGGCACTTGTGCGTTAAGAGATTCAGATAACAAACGTCGTGAAAACACTTCCTCTTTATAACAATTGAAGCAAGCGACGAGAGAGACGGCGCAAACGCTAGTAAGAAGGGGGCTACTCTTGGCTATTAAATAAATAATTGTTATTTAATTCAAATTTTGGTAGAGAAGATACTACAAGATCATAAAGAAGTTCAAGGCAGATAAACATGGGTTCGGTTAATGTGAACCGTAATGTTACAGACATTTTCTATCGGTACAAAATGCCGCGTTTACAAGCCAAAGTCGAAGGTAAAGGCAATGGCATTAAAACGGTTATAGTTAATATGGCCGAAGTGGCACGAGCCATAGGACGACCAGCCACTTATCCAACCAAATACTTTGGTTGCGAATTGGGTGCTCAAACTCAATTTGATTATAAGGTAATTAAATTGTCTTTGAGAAAACTACTTTTGGAATTAGTTTCTCTCCGTCAACTATCTATAAAAAATGTGTTTGTTTATATTTTTCATAGAACGAGCGTTTCATTGTTAATGGCTCCCACGACGCAGCTAAATTACAAGATCTCCTTGACGGTTTTATACGCAAGTTTGTCTTATGCCCTGAATGCGATAATCCGGAAACTGATCTTACAGTTTCAGCTAAGAATCAAACTATATCGCAGTCTTGTAAAGCATGCGGATTTCACGGTTTGCTTAAGGTCAATCATAAGGTGAATACTTTCATTTTGAAAAATCCACCGTCGGTAAATCCAGCCGCGCAAGGTTCCTCTTTGACCGAAGGCAAACGTTCGAAACGTTGTACTAAGAAGCAGAACAGTGAAAATGGCCTTGACAACACTAAAGATTCTATCAATAATTCTGTATCGAATAATTCTGGCGGGGAGTCTGATGGTGGCAATCAGGCTAGCCATCCGGAGGCGGAGATTAATGCCGCTTTCGCCGAAAGTAACGGCGCTGACGATGATGAAGATGCCAACTGGAGTGTTGACGTATCAAAGGTAAGTGCAAAATGTTCTTTTTAGTGAAAAGGAAAACCCAAAGCTATATTTTACTTACTTACTACTCACTTGTATGAAAAAACTTTTAACTATGCGATCTCAATATATATTGGATTTTATAAATACTATTGCACGTTACTACTTACTACTACTTACGTATACTCATCGAAACCGCGGAGTAAACTTTTTTAATTTTAATTTAACGCCTTTGCAATTTAATTAAGATATACGGTGCTCTCGGAAAATTTATGAAATCTATTTCACTGGATATAAATACTGGATAATTAATATATAATATCCGATAAAATTCACGATGAAAATGTTGTGTTGAAAAGCAAAAAAAAAAAAAAATATAGATTAAAATTATTATTAGTAGTGGGTTTAGTGAAATAGAAAAGTAAAAGTGAAACAAAAAATAAAAATAAAAATAGTCGTTTAAACTAGATTAAAATATTTTAATGCAAATGCTTGTTTTCTTTTTCATAATATTTTTCCAGGAAGCCATACGCGCCCGTTTGCAGGATTTAACCGATGGCGCGAAGGGCATGACAATTTCGGAAGATTACGATAAAACTGAAAAGGAGCGCATTGACATTTTCTATGATTTGGTTAAAAAAAAGTTACATGCGGGTCAACTGGATGATGTGGCGGAGCATAAGGCATTGTTAATAGAAGCTGAACGTTTAGATATCGTGCAGAAGGCTCCATTGGTATTGGCCGAATTACTTTTTTCGGACAATATCGTTCAGGAAGTGCGCAAACATAGGGTTTTATTATTGCGTTTTACTCATAATAATCCAAGAGCTCAACGATACTTGATAGGTGGCTTAGAACAGATAATAGCTTTGCACAAAGATAAACTAATGCTTAAAGTTGCTGTGATTCTTAACCGTTTCTATGATTGCGATATATTGGATGAAAAGGTCATTTTGGAGTGGTCTCAAAAAGTCAGCAAACGCTATGTATCTAAAGAGGTAGCAACGGAAATACATGAAAAGGCTAAGCCATTCATTCAATGGCTTAAAGAAGCCGAAGAGGAAGAGTCTTCCGAAGACGATAACGATGATTCTGAAGTTGAGATTGAATACAATGATCGCGTACGTATTGAGCCATTAAAGGCAGCTATTGTCACTCCGGTAGCCAAGAAAGTAATTGATGAAGATGATGACGGCGACGAGATCAATATCGATGATATCTAAACCAATAGAATATAACAATATACCTAAAGCAATTGAGAAAAGATATGTGAGATCATTGCTTAAGCTCCATTGCATCAAAACACAAATTTTATTCTTACTTCATGTACTCTTTATAAAGCACCACTACCACCATTAGAATATAGCGGTAAACACATATCTTTGTTTTATCTTTTAAAAGAAAGTAATTTTTTCCATCTGAATTTCTTAACTATCAAGTGCTTTTTTGCAAAATAATAAGAATTTTTATTCTTTGATTTATTATTTCGTTGATCTTCTCTTTTTTTTTTTTCTAATTTTTCATTTAGACATAATTGTATTGTATTGCGATTTTTTAAAACTATAAAATAACTCGTCGGGATAGATACTACTCAGCATATGGTTTATTCTTTTCGGTTTTTGTCAGGTTTTTCAAAACTGTTATTAACAACAAACAAAAACGTATTGAACAAACCTACTTACACGTAGTTTATCTCTCCGTGGTAAGCCAGGTTGCTCCAAGATATAGTCCTAGCGTCGGATCAAATCCATTATTGAGAGAACCCCGGCTGGTTCTTGCTTTCAATCCGTTGCGAAAATGTTATCTAAACTTCATATTTAAAGTTGTTCTCATACTTTTTACAATTTTCATATTTAAAAAAAAAAAATTTTTTTTCTTCATATATAGAGTATATGTATTAATTAATATATAATATTTTAACTAAAACTAAACTTTCAAAAAATATTATGGCACTGAATAAAAAGTTCTATTTAAACTTTCGCAGCGAATTTCAAAATAAAATAAAAAGAAAAGAAAACAGGAGTCTCCTTGTAAGGGAAGATAAGGTGCGGGACAATCTCTTAGTGCAGCCTATCTGACATGGATAATACTTTAACCTTTCCTTCCTTCAAACATTGTCGTAAAATTTTTGAAATTTATTATGCAAGCAAAATATGTAAAAAAAAACAAAAAAAAAAAAAAAGATTTAACACTTTTCAAAATAAAAATAAAAACCTGGCGTTCTTTAAATAACTGTAAAAACTGCAAGTTGTATACAACATTCAAATTTTTCCATTTTTTTTGTTTTTATTCTTTTTTTCTTAACTTTTAAGAGAGTTTTGCAAACTATCAAATATGTCAAAGGAACATGAAATTGAAAAAAAAAAAAAATTTGCACGAACAACAAGCACATCTTCTTGTGTAACCTCTCTCTACTAAACCTATATACTTAGCAATTACAAATATATATAATATTTCTTATTTATACTTAAATGAAACAAATAAACGGAAAGCGATTAAATGCAAAAAGCTGCTTTTCAATTCTAACGGACGTACTACATACGTACGCACGCTATAAAGGAGAACAACAAGATATGTATATGTATGTATGTTCTTGCTTTTTTTTTTCTTTTCCAATAAATTTTGATATACGCGAAGGGAAAGGCACTTCGGTAAAAATAGATGCAATAGATTTCATTCCTTCGCCTTTGATTGCAATCAATCTCGAAATAATGTGCGCTACCAATTGAGATGACCCTAGATAACACTATGCGAAAGAATCATTAAGTATTGAGGATTGGAAGATTCGATTTGAAAGAAGTCTTTGCCGCGCCTTTTTTAATTATGTTCCATTTTTTTTTTTTCTAGATTGTTGATTCAACTGCGAGAACACGTAACGTATTAAATGAGTTGCTTAGCTTACTAGCCTAATTAAAATATACCGATCGTGTTACGTAGCTTTTGTTATCATTAAGTATACATTATTATTAAACAGTTTAGTAGATATAAAGATTATCGCTTAACAGAAGTCGTTCGGGACATTCATTCACGTGAAAGGTAAAAAAACATAAACACATTGATTTCAAATATAAAATAACGAGGAAACGTAATTGTGAAAACAGATATAATTATATCCCTATATACATATACATAAATAATTGAATAATTGACAAAACGATCATATAAATAATGGCAATGGCAAACAAATATAGTTATTTGTTTACATTGGTAATCTAAACAACAACATTGTCATGCCTTAAGAATAAAATATATTTATTAGGTGTTTGCAAAAGGCATTTACTAAGAAAAATTGCTACAGTGTTTATTAATCAAAATAGTTTCCATAATTTTCTGCAATATTTTACAATATTTTTGGCAACATGACGATCTCACCATGTCCAAAGAATTTGTATTGGTTTTGCAGCGATCCAACCATCGACCCATTTTCGCACTTCTTTAACTTGGTTGATCCGCGTGCCAGCTAAGCCATGCTTGACCAATCTGAACGAGCGGTAATCAGAAGGCTTTATGCCGAGTATGGCCGAACATCCTATTCGAACTGCAACAGTGTATCCGGGACAACTCTTGCAATAAGTGGCCAAAAAAAAAAAAAATGGCATTTTCAGTCAATTCGTGTCGCCACTTTCAAACTGTTGAAACCAAAGCCGACAATTGGAATATGATGGACCAGCATATTGTCATAAGCTTTTGTAGCAGATTTCTTCAAATAAAAACAGCAAGAAAAGTAATGAATTTGGCAGAACAAATATTTGGAGCACTCCATGATTAATAATCAACAATATTAAATGGAACTTAACTGTTATGTTATATAAAGGAAGATCAGAATCATCGGACTCAACCATTATATATACTGTTATTTGCCATTACTTTATCGTTTTTACCTGTAGAAATTACTGATCAAGATTTTTGCAAACACCTAATAATTTGGTAATTGTTTTTTTTTTTTTTTGTGAATGTGAATGTGTTAGTAACAATGTTAATAAGCAATTTTGAATTTTTGTTTTGGTTAGAAAATTCAGATTAGGATGTGAACTTATATTAATTCCATATCAAAATCTACTAAACGATTAAATGATTAGACAATGGGGTCGATTGGCTACAAGTTTAACAATTACTATTGTCATTGTGTTTACATAGTTATACAAATTTCCTAGCGTCGCGCCTACGCGCTGACACAAATGTCTGTTTCAATTTAACATTATATATATAATCATTTTTCTTGCATTTTTAATAATTTTTTTTTCTTTTAAATTTCGACTTCAAATTATGGACACAGTACGGCAAGACGTGAATTATAGCAGCATTGATAGCAGCGAAGGTCTACGTTGGAGAAACGTAGATTTAAACTTTTTACCGTCACCATCTTCTTCAAGTCCGCCAATGAAGTTTTATCATTCGAACCGTTTTAAAATTGTTGCTACGTTTTTATTGATTTCGCTAAGTATATTAATTAGTGGAACATGCATAGCTTATTATGGAAAGATGGCGAATAACTCATCGGTAACGAGCGGTTCTTTTAATCTAAATAATTTACCCAATGAGCAGCTTATTTGGTTTGAAAAAGGAGAGGCTGAACTTCTGAAAGCCTTGAATCGTAAAGAAAACTCCCGTAAAGCTCGAAATGTTATACTATTTGTGGGTGATGGTATGGGCCCGAATACAGTGACCGCGGCACGCATTTATGGTTTTGGCGAAGACGGCCTAATGGCATGGGAAGAATTTCCTAATATGGGTTTGTTAAAGGTAAGCTTGCACAACTGTTACAGACTTTTACGATCCAAGCCCAATTTGCTCATATTATAGACCTATTGTGCTGATAAATTGGTACCCGATTCAGCCTCTACAGCCACTGCTTTATTTTCTGGGGTCAAGACTAACTACGAAACCAGTGGCATTGATGCGAGCGTACATTTCGCTGATTGCCCGAACTCTTTGAATTCATTACATCAATTGCCAACAATTATGAGTTGGGCTCAAGATGAAGGTCTCCATACAGGATTCGTTACCACGACGCGAGTAACTCACGCTACTCCCTCCGCATTATACGCTCATGTCCCGGACCGCAGTTGGGAATGTGAAAATAATATTCCGGAATATGCCCGAGTTCAAGGTTGCACAGATATAGCCACCCAACTAGTTGAGGGCAATGTAGGACAAAAAATTAACGTTATTATGGGAGGTGGCCGCCAAATGCTAATCTCGAATATAAGTGGTTCCAAAGAAGATCCTTTAGACACTTGGGCTGGATATTCGAAAGATGGTCGTCACCTCATCCAAAAATGGATGCGAAAAAAACAAGAACAAAATCGATTGTATCAAGTGGTACAAAATAGAGATGAATTAATGGCTATAGATGGCACTTCTGTAAATTATGTTTTGGGTATTTTTGCTAACGGTCATTTGAAATATGATAATGAGCTTGATATGGGGTCAGGGAGCATGCCCTCCTTAAAAGAAATGACTGTAAAAGCATTGCAAATCTTAAGCTCTCGAGAAAGAGGTTTTTTGTTAGTTGTGGAGGGCGGGTTAATAGATCAAGCCCATCATCGCGGCAAAGCAAAAAAAGCCATTAACGAAGTTCTTGCATTCAACAATGCCATTAACGCTTCTATTCAAGCGTTGAGTGAAGAGGAGCTAGAAAATACACTAATAATTGTAACGGCTGATCATTCACATACGCTTACAATTAACGGTTATCCTAAGAGAGGAACGAGTGTATTCGGCATCGCGGGCAACTCTAAAACGGAAGGGACCCCTTATACCGTGCTGACCTACGGAACTACCGGCAAGGGGTTTCAAACTGATGACAAGTGTTTGCGCAAAGATCCCGCTACCGATGACACCGAAAACTGGGAGTATACTCAACAGGGTGCTGTTAATACCGACGAGAACAGTCATGGTGGCAGCGATGTTACTATACATGCAACAGGTATAATATATATGAGTAAGCGCAAAAATCGTGTTTTCCATTATTTTACCCTATTTCCCCCCTCTTTTCATTTTAGGTGCCATGTCACATCTTTTCCATGGCGTTCATGAGCAATCGTATGTTGCTCATGCCATATCGTATGCCTTACGTATTGGACGTTTCCGCGAAAGTGCTCTCGTTAACCAATTAAATGAAAAAACGACCCCTTAATTGTGTTTCATAAAATAGTTAAATTATTAAATCACAACAGACCAATAAATAATAATAATAAAAGGTAGCAAACGGGAGTTGCCGATGTTCTTTTTTTTTTTTTTTTTTTTTGTTTGCATGGCGACTATTGCCATTTTTTAAGTAAAATTATTGTGTTGTCGTAGTTGCTAGAAATTTGAACAGTCTGGTATCTCTTCTTGTATTACTGATAGAATTTTTAATATTCGAAAGGTTTTGTGAGTGATTCTAAGTTAAAAATAAATAATGGAACAGACCGAGCAACAAAATAATCCTTCTGAGTTACCTAATGAGCTTATTAAAGAAGAGGGGAGTGAGGAAAAACGCTCGTCACAACAAGAAACACATTCGTCACCATCACCAGCAGTCTTGGAGAGCTCCCAAAGCAATATCGCGTTAGAAGCAATAACTTTAGAAGAAGTAGAAGAGGACGGTGACCGAGATAACTCAACTAAATTAGTAATAGACATAGATGATGAAAAGGATGATGAGAAAGCTTTGTCGATTGAAGAAGAAAAGAAAAGTAAAACCGATATAGTAGAACGTGACGAATTGCTTAAAAATGAAGAAATGGCGATAATTGCGTTGTCGGATAGTGAGGACGATGAAATATCAGCTCCGGAATCTGTCCCGAAAGCAGCTAAAGTGCAGAAACGACGTAGTGTAGGAGCCACCGGACAATCAAACAATGATGAGGAGCCAGAATCCTATCGTTTGAAACGACGTAAAATTAACGCTGCTGGAGCCCCTAAAATGCCTTTAAATGGTAAGGTGTATACTTAAAATCATAAGGTAACATTTTTATCCGTGAAATTCTTTAAGGTTATGTGCGTTATATGAACGAACGTCGTGACAGCTTGCGCAAGGAGCATCCCAATAAAACAGCTATAGAACATACAAAAATGATAGGAGAAGAATGGCAAACAATGTCCGTAGATCTTAAAGCGCCTTATATGAGGGCGGCAGAGGTTGATAAGCAAAGGTTGGTGATTTGAAAACATTTTTATTAAAAAGAGGGTTTTATTCCGTGGAAAAATCTTTTTGGTAGATATCTTAAAGAACTGCATATTTTTCTTAAGACCCATCCCGATGTTTTAGCAAGTGAATTGGCCAAGAATAAACCACGCAAATCTATTGACGGTTGTTTCGCTCCTAACGCCAATAATACTGTCGCCAGCACGGCAACGAAGCCGTTGACCAAAGAGAAAATTCAATGTCAAAATACGGACGCAAAGTCCTTAGCAAATAAAGATTTGCAAAAAGAGAAAGTTTCAAAAGTTCCAATATCGCCATCTACACCTCCTATACAATTGCATTCAAATATGGTGGAAAAAATAAAATCCAAAAGAACCCCAACACCACCACTGACAACGCAGCTCACAACAGATGTATTGCATAACGCCAACACCACTGGCTCGACGGCAACAACAACAACAGCAACAACGACTACAATTGTAACACCTACGCCTTGTGAGATACCAATCTTTACGAATGAATTTTTGGAACACAATAAAGTTTACGATACAGAATTGAAAGCTTTGCGTAAATCGAAAACCGATTTAGAACAGCAGAATGCTGTTCTCGAGAAATATGTGGAGAATATGAAATCCGGCGTTCAGAAAATGATTAACGAAAACAATGAACTCCAGGAGAAGAACCGTTTACTTGAGATATATTTAAAAAAATTGAAACGAAAACTGGCTGAAGCTTTAAGTGCTCTACCTCTTCCAATGGCTCCCCAAGGAGCGACTGTAGAGAATATTGAAAAATATATGCAAGATTTATATAAAATGGCTACCACTAATTCCCATGGTCCAGCTACTTTAAATAAAGCTAAAGATATTATACGGAAGTTAGATTTGCAGATACAATTGTAAAATGATTCCAAACATACCTGTTACAATTTCAACTACTTTTTTAAGCATTTTAATATTTCATCTACGGAGTATAAGATTTTAAAATGTAGATTAAAAAGCTTTGGTTTGAAAGGCAATTAATCTGCCAATTTCATTAAATCAATAAAGATAAGATATTTGAAATAATGACTACAGATGTGTGTTAAATTCGCAAAGTTTTTTCGAACAGGAAAATTATGATTTTACAATTGGTAAAAGGCTAGTGTTCGTAGAATATATCTTTTGAGAATTGAGAATTATTTAGAACAAAATTGCAATCAGCGATAACACCTAGTTGCAAATCTTTTTACAAGACTCTGAAATCAAATTTCAATCCTGATTATATTAAAACAAACTCATTTAGACGCACTTTTGTTTATTAAAAAAGATGAAGGTTTATGGAAACGTTTAACAAGACGTGCAATATAGGACTTGTACACGAAACAAGCTACACACTCATGATTCTTGGATTTATTCAACAATTAATATAATGTATAGGTACTACTCGTGACTACCCCAACACCCCACCAAACTGGATAGCTTTTCACCATGTGTTCACTTATTTTTTGATTTCATAATTGAAATCAATTTGTTATGAAATTTTCTACACTTCTACATAATTATCCAAAATTGATGTTAAACGCCAACTAGTAAAAAAATTATATTCGACGGAAGCCGAATAGCCCATACCCGCCACTATGGTTTTCGTATTCTAATCTCCAATTCCTTTTATTTGATACCCATATCGATTCATTTTTTAGAATTAAGCGATTTTTACGCAGATAATACATCTTCATTTGCGAAATGTATAAAATAGTTTTAAGCATTCTGTCTTGTTTCCGTTATGATGATTAAATATGAAACCTCAAAAAAGTGGAATAAATAAAATTTAGTCACTTATAATTTTATGTGGGCATGGGCGATATTTTCCACTCTTGCAGGTAAAGTGCAGAGTGTTTCGTAAAATAAATGTGGAAATTTCAGCCTTTTTGACGAAAGAAACGAACAAAAACCCACAAATTTTTGTTATGAAAAATGCAGCTGCGTTCTGTTTACGTTCCACTGCGGATTTCTGCTCCGACTAGCTTGGCTAGTTTTCAATACCCATCTGCGTGCAACTACTTTCAACGTTGAAGATGATATCTTCATTTTTGCGACCAGGAGAGTGCCAGCAACACACACCACCAAAGATGACAGGACAGACATGACTTAATTCAATCCCAAGGCTTGGAAAAACATTTAAACTATAAACTTTTCATAAAATGGGAAATAAATTTTAGTTTGTAAATATAGGGAGTTGCATGTATACACTAATGCATCTTCTATCAGCCTTGTAATGAATATCACGGTCGATTGTACGTTCTGTACGACTCCATCAACAATGACTCTATGGGGCATCTTCTATCACCTGAATGTATTTCAATGGTACAGCTACGTAGCGCTTTACATTACTTCCCTGCTTACGAAGGAGCACGAAGAACCTGTACTTTATTAGTTCGCAGTCCAAGCCTTTCAACTAAGGGCTTTCATTCACTGACGGATTTTGAGATGGCATAAGAGAAATTGTAGCGTCGTGCAGGGTCCCATTTCACCTAACAAGGCTCCTTGTCCGCCAATTTCGATACTTCTCTACCTTGAGACAACATAAAATGGGCAAAGGAACCACTCTCGGACACTCACGGGCAAAAATCCAGCCTTTTTTAAACGGGATTTTAATAGACGATCAAAAATGGACTACCTATAACAATATCGTCCGCAAAAGTGGCTTGATACGGATCAATCACCCAAGTCAGCTGGGCTATCGAAAATGTTTTTCAGTCCAAACTAACCACATTTTCCATGGAAGGAATTGGTAAACTACCAGGAAGATGGCAGAAGGTCATACACAATAGCGACGAATACATAATAAATTAATATAATTTTGTTATTCAATGAAACCAAAATAAATTTCTGATAAAAAAACAGAATGATGAGGTAGACTTCAAATTTATAAGATGATTTTTGAAAAATATATTTCAATGTTACCATCGGATCACAAGACGCACCCAATATTTGAATCCATTTCGCTATTTAAAAACATGCGTCATATAATCCGAAAGATACGGTACTTATGACTCGGAGTTAAGACGATGCAATTCCTTCATTCATCTTTTAAATTATTTTTTGTATCTTTGTTTACATATTTAATGATGTCTTTGTTTTTGGTTTTAAAGCCAGATGTTTTTGCTTATATTTTCCTGGAAAATAATACGGTAGCGCGGTTGCCCATTGTGTTTCTAGTTGAGAATTTTTTTTGACCTCTAGGGAAACTAACACAATCAGGCGTCATTTTGCTTTTCGGGCTGCGCTACCATATTGCTTTAGAAAAACATATGCTTTAAGAACCAAAAATAAAGAAATCTACGTAAACATAACCAACAAATTTATAAAAAATATTAATAAGGAAATTAATGTAAAATAAAACAAGCTTATGTATTGATTAATGATATATAAGAATGATTCGATATGTGTAATGTGTGATGTAATTTTGTGTATTAATTCATTTATAATTATGAAATTAATGAATATATATCAACTTTAAAATATAGAGTGTTGTTTTTAATTTTTTATACAATCATGGACGGCGATAAACATAAATTAGATAAATAACTCTAGAATTATACGTACAAAACCATATGATTTGTCAATTGCCATAAAGTTTTTTAAAAATTTGGGAGAGTTCCAACTCGAAAATAAAAATAACGGCTTATTGTGCCAGCACCCAACGGGTAATAGTTAGGCAGACATAAAAGTTTTTGTTTTGGTTGAAGAGGTAATCACGTAAGCGAACGACAATTGAAGTAAGCCCCGGAGAATCTAATCATGTTGGCAAATTTGATGGCGATTGTCGTCAATTGCGCTCTTTCAGCTACGTCAAATCTGGCGAAATGAAATTACTGTCTCTGAGAACAAATTTGCATTAATATTGAGTATAAACCGAGCAAAGTTACCATAAATCTCTCTTTTAGAAGTGCTTTTTTAAAAAACCAGTTGCAAAATAAATTTATAAACAGCGGTGAGCAGATCAATTATTAATTTTAAATACTTCAAAAAATTAAAAAAAAAAATTAAATTCGTCCGAAATTACATTTGCGCTCTATGCAGAAAAAGAAATATTCTTGTAAATCAATTATGATTTATTATTTTATAGCCTAACACAAATTTTACATAATTTTCCATTCATTTCATTTTACATGCTTGTTATTGTGTACCGCATAAAGTTTGTTTACACAAAGCAAATTTACGTTAATTTAGCTCTCATTTTTTACGTTTCTCCCAGTTATTAATGCATCGTAATAAAAAATTTGAGGGGAAGTACTAGAAAACTAGTGACGATGATATCTGATTAGCCCCTTGCCGACAATCAATTGTCTCTTAAAAACTATTTGTCGATAATCACGGCAAAAATCGCCCACCATCCGTTTACAAGTAAGCAATTTTGTTTTGCATTTATTTTGTTTACAAATTTACAGCTCTTTTCTTCTATAAATGCAGCTCTAATCAATTGTAAACGTACGAAAGCAAAAAAACGTTCTCTCTTCACAAAAAATCAGAAAACGGTCATGGGGAAGAAATACTTAGTAAACATTCAGAAAGGATGTACAAACGTTCACAACTGCTTACCTGTAAGTAAGTTAACAGTTTGAAGCAATAATAGCCTATAAATAAATCAACGGTTAGGTACAATTCCACGTAAACTACATTAAAATATGGCTAAAGATTTTCTTTATGTTTTTGAAAACAAATAAAATCTGCACAAACCAACTCATCTACTCATCATCACAAAGAATTTAATTGGATTTATTTTTATGCTACACAACTTAAGGTGAGCAGAGGAGCTATTCTACCTAATTTTATTATATATTGATCAACGTTACTTATTAACGTTATAGCTTAACAGTATTTTACTTACCTTTAAACAATTCAAACTTTTTTTGTTTGGTTTCTGTTTATACGTAAACCAATTTTCCTTAGATTTTATTTTGTTTTTCATTTCTTTTACCGTTTTTTTTTCTTCTTATAAATGCAACTCTGAACACTCAATTCTAAGTCAAATTTGTTCGAAACGATAGCTATGTAGCTTTCGTCTCATTTGAAAGTTATAAGAGAATTGTGATTGCACAATCGTTCGAAACGAGAACGATTGTTATATATTACATATGTAATTACTCTCTTGTAAATTAGAAACTTATAGAATATAGAACACCGAAAGCTGATAATGGCAGCTCTAATCAAAAGAATGTGAGAGATAAACAAGCAGAAGTCTTTGTGTAAAAAAACAAGAGATATTTGATTTTAGTGGTATTAAAAAAGCTCAATGGTTAGTTTACGGAAAAATTAAAAAGCAAAATATTCTATTTAATAAAAATCTAAATAAATATATAAATTTGTGGTAATTTACATAATTTTAATTTTTTAATTTATAAAATAAATTGAAACAAATCAATTTTTCATTGTCAGTTTTGTTATTGGCAAGGAAATGAAAAGAGGACTTAACGATTGCAAATAGCCATATATTACTTAAAAATAAACATTTGATGATTCGTGATAAGTGTTGAATAAACGTTATAATATTTAGAAACCATGCTTTTTATCAATAAAAAGCACAAAACTGTTTAAAATTTTTAGAGACGTATAATTGCCAATAATTTTGTTTTTTGTTTTTTCTGTGTGCATGAGTGCGTGAAGCTGAGTGCTTTACTCTAATTAAAATTTCATAAGAAAAAACTTGTTCTTTCTTTTGAAAGGGATACCCGATACACCCCTACAAACAAAAAGTACTTACAAGAATATAACCAGCAGTCTGGAGTCTTGTTATATGTGTTAACACAAGCATACAGCATATTCTTGTATATGCTGGATGCAAATGTAGCTAATAAGTACAATTGACTTTTGTGTACATAAATTAATAGATTTATAGATATATATATATATACATAGAATATATATTGTATATATATATAGTTTGATGCGTAATAAAGGGAATTAATTTTCATCTAAAAACATACATGCATGTGTGTTCGCATTAAATTTATTTAACTATATTGCATATAATAAAAAATGTTGAAAAGTCTATATATTAAAAAAAAAAGCCACTACCTACCGACTATTCCAAACTATTCTTTGGCTTGCTGCAAATTCATTTGCCCTTTAGAAATAAGTGTAAAATAGTGATTGAATCAAGAGATTGAATCGAAAAAAAAAAATTGTCCTGTAAAGTATTCATAGCTTTACGAGAAACTTACGCTCTCCTGTAAGCCTTCTTTCCGCATCTTTGTTAATATTTTTTTTTCGTCAACTTGCGTCACGGCTTTCTCTAAGAATATCTTGTAGGTCCTTTTTGTAAGGAATGCTTTTCACTACAGTTAGTCATGTTATTATGATAGGTTCAGTTATAGGTTAAGCTATAAAGCTTCGCAAACCCGAAGCTTTGACACGTAGACAAATAGGGCCTAAATTTATGCAAATCTTTTTTACCATATATTCAAGCACGCTTGATAAAATGTTTGTTTTCTCACTATTTGAAGCTTAAATTTATCGATAACCATATGGGATTTTTGTTTCCATCATGGAAAATGAGAAATAATGAAAATTTCGGTCATAATAAATTCAACATTTTCGCGATAGTTTTACCGCCCAACAGTACGTTGACGTTCCGTTTGCATCATCAGTCATCTTCTCACATATATATACTACAAAGTGTAGTATAGCAACGGAGAACTCATTATAGCTGCGATCTATATAGATAGCTACGATAAACTCTGTCGCATTGAGATTGGAATCCACGACCATTGACTTATTAGTCGGCAGTCGGACAAATCACCGCAAACTGTTCTTGTGAACTAGCAGCACAACATCTAACATAACGTTACGTTAAGAGATAAGCATGAGGAGTAACTCCTAATCGATCTTCTTAAATGAAGGTTTTTGGTTCGAACTTTCAATTTTTCAAATGTTTCATTAGTTGTTGCTAGTGTACCATATACAACGAAAACAAGAATAAAAGAAAGGATCGCAAAAACTGTGAAAAAAGAGAAACAAACAAATTAGTTTATAATAATTAGAAGGCATGTGTGTAAGCAGGTTTTGAATTTTGCATTCCGCTTGAGAAGGAAGGGCTGAAGAGGGACTCCTACCCTGAGAATATATAGTTTGAATGTGCACTTCTCTTTTCCTCGAGAGCCATTTTTTTCTCTTTTATTAATATCACTTATCCCCCATTATTGGCGTAACTTAAGTGAATGGGTGTTCGATATGATTTTATGACTCATTAATTAATTGGAATTATTTGCCCTTACCCTTTCATCCTTTTTGAAAATTTTTGACATTTCTTTTTCTATATTTATACATAACGTATTAAAGAAGATCGTTGAAGACCTAGATAACTTAATTAGTTTTCGTGCATGGTGGTTGATTACTATATGACTGTTAAGCCAATTTAGGTTTGCATGTCTTCTGTTATTGCATCGGTTGCAATTAAACTAAAAAAATTCGAAGAAGAGAAATCTAAATTCGCCATATATATATATATATATATGCCCTATGCCGATGTCAACAAACCGGAATTGAAAATGACCGTGAACCATTCATTCATAATCATACCCATAGCTGCGGTCAATGGCGGATATTAATTTAAAACTTGAAGCAAACATATTTACTCTCGTGCACTCTACAAAACAAAAAAAAAAATCCTTCAGTACGAACATGATGTGCCCTTCTTACTTCTTAACCTTGTAAATGTTAAGGGATATTATTCTAAAATTCCAAGTCAGAAAACACTTTACGCGACCAATATTAATGCATTACTTTTATCTTTACTTTAATTAGTTGGGTTTAATTAATGCGTTTGATAAGATGGAATAGTTTTTTTTTTTTTTTTGTGCTTTTTATTAAACAGAGAGTGTTAGTAATTTTTACATTTTTTATACCCATCAACGAAGTATGTGGGGTATATTCATTTTGTCAAAACGTTTGCAACGCCCAGAAGGCAACCTCCGAGAACGCACAAAGAATATATATATATATATATTCTTGATCCGGCATAAAATTCCAAATCGATTTAGGCATGTCTGTTTGTCCGTCTGGGTGATGTCTATTGTATAACATTCTTCTGCCGGCAAAAATGAAGATATCGACTTCAATTTTAGCAGAAACATTTGAAGCCTCCGCAAATGGCCAAAATCGATTGAAGGATACGTCCACATTATCGCACAAGCTGAGAACACTTTTGTTTTTTGAAAAGGAATCAAAATTGATATTTTGTTTATTACTCAGAAACTATAAAAAGATAAATGTGCAAAAATTTGAACGCATATGCTATGGACGAAGCTGTAGTATCTCTAAAAAAGTGTCAGAAATTGTCCACGGCCATCCAATATTATAGTGTATCAAATTTTAATTTATTTCTCAATACCTTTATAACTCGTAGATGCAAGCTTCAAAAACCCGTTAAGATTTACAAATTCTTGGCTAGTTTCACATTTAGAATGCACCTAAATGTGTCCAGCGGTTCGTTTGTCCATCTGTCTGCTTGCACAATTGCGCAGTATTTGCGGTAATCGTTCTCCCCTTAGCGAACATATCGTTTACAGATTTACAAAACAATTGAGAAATGATTTAAACTTTTCCAAGGACACGCCTACAATTTTTTTTTATCTATTTTAAGATAACGGTGATGGGTATAAAGAGATTCGTTCACTACCGAATATACTTTTCTTACTTGTTTCATATTTGATTAGATCGTTTTGTTTGGGTTTAGATTAGATAGTTAAAAATTGTTATAAGTGAAATGTTAAAAGGTGCTCTAAAACGTATTGAAATTATCTCCGATATTTTACAAAGGTCCAATGAAAGTCTAAAATAGAAAAAACCATTTAGTTTAATTTAATATAATTGAGCAATGTTTTTTTTTTTTTTTTTTTTTAATAATTTGGTCAGTTTTCATATTTCATTACGCAGCCTGATACGTTCTATTCGAAAATTGTACCCGATGTGCATTGTTTGCCATTGTCGAGGTATTGCATTTGTCAGTCATTTGGCCAGACAAATAAACACGGTCAGCAACGTTTACCAGGAATTTATGACATGTACACATGTATATCCAATTAATTGTCAGCAGCACGTATTTAATTGCATAAAAATTTCAACCATATAAGTATAGCGAACTTGAAAGAAACTTCCGAGATCTATTATGCTCTTCTTAATTGGACTCAAATTCTCAATCATTCTAAGTATGGCCGTATGTCTGTTGTAAACAGTTTCGCGGTTGCAAAAATTAAAGTTACGCCAACGCAGAGTAGTATTGAAAATAAGACAAATCGATCAAGAGGCGCGCCTATTATACAATTTAAACAGTGCACAATTCGATTTTAAAAAAAAAAAAAAAAAAAAAAAAAAAAAAAAAAAAAACTTCAAATGACGTATGTCTAATAGATAATTTTATGGTAACTATACAACAATGGCCGGCCGGTTTTTTATTTTTAAGGTAAATGTGTTGAGCATAAAAAATTTGGCTAAAGTAGAAGGTAACTATCTTTAGTCACTAGTACTTAGAAAATCTGATAACGTTACCTTATTATTGTCTTATAAATGTTGGTGTAGACTTCCGCGATTAACTGATCATTTAAGACCTTGCGGCTTGGTTTTAAACCTGCGCTGGCACATAGATGGATCAGCCGAAATTATTATTATTTCTTTGTAGGCAAAATGCAACTATCATAGTCGCAATACGTAATGGGTAGCGCTATTTAACATTGTACCATTTTTTTGGGTGAAATTTAAGTCAATTCATCTTAAGGCAAATAGATGACTAATATTTTAATGATTATTGATAATTTTTTTTCAACTTTTCTTTTTTTCAGCTGCTGTTAACTTTTTAGAAAGTCAAAAAAAAATAAAAATAAAAATAAATAAATAAATAAAACACAAAAATTAAGAAGTGAAAGTTTTATGCATTCTTAACAAACAAAAGGCTTCGTTTGATAACAACACCTTTGTGCATAGTTAAGAAGATAAGTAACGAATCAATATATACATAGCAACGAATAAAATAATAGCAACAACAATGAACAAGGCCGGCAAACACATTCAAAGTGGTTTACAGCACAGCAGTGCCATATTACCCAAGTTACCAGTATTACAAGCAACAACCACTACAAATATAGCGAGCGGTGGTAGCGCTAGTAGTGTCGGTGCTGTTAGTTCAACGGCCCAAAAAAATGTCATTAATTCGATAATGAGCTTTTTACCAGACAACCGACCCATCACTTCGTTACAAATAGTAGAAGATTATGAAAAGTATATCTGTTGTGTAAAAAAAAAAAAAAAATTTTCTAAAAAATATTAAATTTTTATTTTTTTTTTTAAAATTTTTTTAAAAAAAAAAAAAAAAAAAAAAAAAAAAAAAAATTATTTTAGATGTCCAAAAAATTTTACATCCATTCACCGTACTTATGATCAGGATGCTGATGCTGATTTATGGCGTGAGAATAATATATTATTTGGCCGGCAGACGACACGCTACCTCTGCTTGTCAAAGACGGAGGGATTGCCGGACTATGTGCTAGAAACATTAATGTACGTATATATATTTTAGTTTAATCAAAACGTGAATTAAGACCTTTGCTCGCTTATTAAAACCCATATAACCTAATCTCGCCTCCTTTTTTTTTTTGCAATTCCATGTTTTTTTTTTTTTTTTTTTTAATATTTTCTAACATATCCTTCAATTTTGCTTAGGGACTCGCCGTCAACTGTATTTGATAAATTTGTTTTTTTTAACAATTACATCCATAAGTCATTAAGTTTTAAAGTAATTAATTAATTTTCTTTTTTTCAATAGAGCGAGCAAATCTATCAATATACACTTTTAATAAGTAGCGTTCTCAAAAGCTCTTTAAATCTCACAATTATCTATCCTCATAAATTTTTATAGTCTGCAAAAACTCAGGATCGTTCCTCTGATTCTCCGATTTAAGCCAGTCTGTCAATTTTTCAGATATTTTGATGAAATTTGATACACTATCCTGTTTTGGCCCAAGAAAGAGCGCTATTGAAAATGTTTGGGATTAGTTTAGTTTTTCGACCACTGCCCATATATGTGAAAAAAATATTGCAATTTTCGTAATTTTTCGACAAAACGCGTTGTGTAACAATATTTCGACCTTATAAACTGCTATGAAAAATTGCTTTGGCTGCTTTGCTTTCTTTCATATAATCGTTCCTAGAAAAACTAGACTTTTTGCATTCTAATACCTCAATACGTTCATGATAGTAACTTGACATAAAAAGTAAGTGGATCAGATTTAAAACATATGGGCCATCTTCTTGATCCCTACTCTATATAAGATTTTTCATGAATAGTAAACCCTTCAGAAAAACAATTAATTTTTAATATTTTATGATAAAAATTAATCCCATAGGACCAAAATAACTGCTATGGTTGGGAATCTGGATCACATAGGCATATTTTTTAGGACGTGTCAGGACATGTCAGGATTATCGTGAAAAGCAAGCCCTTATATGAAAAGAGAGGGAATAATTTTTAGAAAGCAAACTCAGTTGGAAAATTTGTATCGCGTCGTGTGATATTTCGGGCATGCTCCAATATGCGGGCTTTCATGGAAAGTATGTCTTTGCCCAAAAATAATGTGTAATTTTTGGTGCATTATTAACGAAACGAAATGAGATAGGATACCCCATGCTCTGCCTTGCCCAACTATAATGTCCTTACTTTAGTTTAGTTACTACGCATGCTCTTCGAGTAAGACATGTTAAGTATTGTAATCTTTGTGTATATTATAAGGAGTGTAAAAAGCATTATACATCAGTAGCAAATGTCTCGCCCATCTTTCACGCAACAATTTAATTCTATGCGGAAAGGAAAACTAATCCATGAAAGGATCTAATTTCTTGGACGTTAACGATTGATGTTAAGGTTAATCAGATGGAAACGGTTGCACACAACTCATACGATGGCACATTCCAGTTCAGTGCTACTAATTTCCGAAAGTGGATTTTGCAGCCCTAATGCCGCATATTGTGTCTATCTTTCAGCCTAATTCCCTTAGCCTATCGCGTGCAGCATTTGATCTTAAAACCTTGGATAAATATAAAAGATATTATATGGAAAATTACTTGCAAGACGAGCCGCGTAAATCGTTTATACAACATACTGCAGTAATAGTTACGCTCTCTCTTGGAAAACATCTGAGAATTATTCTACATCCACATATATGTGCACCAGCATAGCTTGCGCTTATATATAATATATATTAGGTGTTTGCAAAAGTTTTGATCATTTGTTCACTTGAAAAAAATATTTATTAAAAAAAAAGTTGGTACAGTGTGTATTAAACAAAATAGTTTCCTTCATTATCTACATTTTACTATATATATGGCGATATTATGTCGAATTGAACTTGTATTGGTTTGGCGGCGATCCACTCACCGATCCATGTCCGCACTTTTGCAACTTAGCGAACCTGCGTGCCAGCCCAGCCATGCCGCATCGATCTGAATAAATGGTAATCAGGTTGAGGCAGAATTTCCCAATCGAGCTCTCTGGGCGGCTAGCCAAAAAATGGCATTTTCATTCAATTCGTCAATCAATTTTTATATCATTGTAACCAAAACCGACAATTGACATACGATGGAGCAGCATCGTCATAAACTTCTGAACGTATTTGATGGGCTTCAACAGCAGATTTCTGCAAATAAACCATTGAAGTAATGAAGATCGAAAATGTAATTTTTAGAGCTCCATACGATTAACGTCGGCGTACGCTGAATAACTCAATAATATTAAATGGAAAACCATTATTTACTGTTATGTAGGGAAAGGTCAAAACGTTCGAATCGAATTCGTTGCCTACATTGATATTTTCCATCTCTTTTCCATCATTTTTACCGATAGAGGAGTCGTTGATCAAAAATTTTGCTCACACCTAATAGCTTATGTGGAGCGGTATATTTGCGCTCATATCTGCTACCATTATGCAATGTGATGCAACGCATGCTACTACGGGGTGTTAGGTTATTTTAATGAAACGAATTTTGCAAGGCAAGTAAAGACTAATGATAGATTTCGCATAAACCAATGCCGATTTAAATCAACTGCAATTCCATTCGAATGTAAAGTTGGAATATTAAAAGAATTAAAAAAAAAAAAAAATAACACTAACATAGAAAATAATTAGTTAGTTATCTTGCTTTCCGTTCGCTATAGATTTTTATTAAATGTAATGCAATTATTTTTCAGTTGCTAAGAGCTGCAACGCTTATGCATATAAATCAAAATTAACATCAAAACTCTTGGCCAAAAAAAAAAAAAAAAAAAAAAAAATGGACTTTTCCAGCAATCACAAGAAATGTTCACATTTCATGTTTTTTGTATAATCGCTTCCGCCTTGTTTGCAATTTTTCTACTTATTTACATGCATGATGATGATGAACAGAGGGAATTCTAATTCTCACTGTCTGTGCCACGTTAAATCAATTTTGAGCATTAGCAAAATGAAAATGAAAACAACACTTTTATAATAGGAAATGATGAGTTCTATGGTAAATCAAATTTTTCCTATACAATAAGATATTTGAAAATATTTTGCGTTTTTAACGTGATCGCACTTCCGAAAGTCGCTTTCTGTACCGTTTCAAAGTTTTTGAAAAAAAGGATTTATAAAAAACTTATTAAAGAGGTGAGCATTTGTTTATGAGTGCCCTCTCTTGATAGCATAGATAAGTTGCATATCAATTTTTGGAAGTTAAAATCCGCCAGCACTTCCTTCAATACTTTCAAATGTAATCAACCTTAAGCCGGAACATTGTTTGCACTGTTATTGTTTATTTTTTTTATAGTGTCATAGCTGAAAAGACAACACCACCCAAAGGGTTTTCGTTACTTTCACGTACTGCTGACTCGGAACAAAAGGCGTGGCGTAAACGACAACTAAGTTATAAATTATCTAAAAGAGGAATCGCCACACAGGCTATTACTGATATAATATTGTGTTCAAAATTGAAAATAGCTCCTCAAGGCTTTAAAATGGCTGGGTAAGCAGTTATTATATATATATATATATATATATATATGTATGATACATGGCAAAGATATCTTTGTAAAAAAATCGTTTCTTTCTTTTTTAAAAGTGATTTAAATGGTATTTTAATATGTTATAAAACGGCCACACAACCCACACGTTTACCGCCACCAGTACCAAGTTTAAGTCCGACAGCAACAAATAATAGTAAACCATCGTCATCCTCGTCATCAGCGACATCTAATAGTGAAGTCGAGAAAGCTTTAAATCGTTTAAATCTGAATGGTGTTGGTGGGATCAACGGGCGCTATCCTAAACAGCCGGTAATTTTTTGCACAAAAGAAACTCTTCTTGTTTCATTTTTTTCAGATATTCATATAATAACAGATCAGATGGCTGTTAATAGAAACAAAATTTAATTATCATAAATTATCATTTTGTATCACTTTTTTTTTTATTAATTTTTTTTTTTTTTTATAGCTACCTCCGGTTCCTGCCGCCGAAGATCATGATTATGAAGAAATTCAGTCATCGTATCAGATTAAGTCACCACAACGGCCAGCTCCCAAACCACCCGTCATCAATAACGTTTGCATTGGTACTAACACTTCAGGCCATAGCGTAGGAACTTTGGGTACCTATAACGAACTTGAGGGTGTGCCATTTGTGATTAATGCCTTGCTTAAGCCACCTCATGAAAATCAGGTAATTGGATTGAATTAAATAATTTTCTTCTTTTTTTTTTTGAAAATCTACTTTTTCTGTTTTTGGTTTAGATACTTCCACTGCCAAAACTCAGCGATTTTGCATTAAAAAAAGATTTAGAGTATGATTTTTATTTGGAACGCCAAACCTTATGTATTATGAAATCAGCAGCTTCTAAAAATCCCTTTTTCAAATAAGAAAATTCAATTGACAGTAATTATATTGTACATTTATTTAACTTTTGTAGACTTTTTCGATTTATTTTTATTACAAATTGAAATGATTATTTTCAATTTATTTTTTCCTTTTTTTTTAATTTAAAAAAGATTTTTTCTAACCAACAAATAATTCCAGAAAATAAACCTTTAACCTTGTGCCTTCTTCTTCCATTCAGTACTGCGTTAACAAGAGAATATTATTTTTGATTTTAATGATGAAAATTTTGTAATTAATAATACCCGTTAAATTAATTGCATGATTTTTAATACATTTCAAAATGTTTTAAGGCATTATTGAATTATTGTGATCGAATATTTTGTATGTAAGTAATTTTTCAAAACACATTCTTTTTTTATGTAAATATTTTAAAAATAATTTATATATACGAATGTATAAATTGAATAAAACTTTAAAGTTACATATAATATACGTAAGTAATATATATTCAATCATAAAATCAAAAAAAAATTTCAAATGTAAAATCTTAATCAATGCCATAAAAAGTGCATTCGAGGCCTAAACTATAGTACAGTAAGTAGTATAGTAGTAATTATAGTATGATCCTTAAAATGTAGGCATAAAAACTCATTCGATTCTCAATATATGCTGAAGAAGACATTTCGAAATATGAATTTCGCTGCGAAAAAGAAATTATTTTTAAAAAAGAGTTAAGAAAGAAATAAGAAAGTTTTATATCGTCTCGAAATAATATAAAATGTAACAGACAGCTCTCTTAAATCATCAACGTGCTGATCGATCGGAAAATATTTGTATATTTCATTTTCTCTGAAAATTATCAATAATGGTTTTAGCTTAATATCTGCCTTTAAGTGTCGAGATTTTATACGTTATCTCAATGCAACGCAAAGCGGTAGGCAAGCAAATCGCTTAATACGGCTAATTGAAATAATATGACTTTGGAGATTAATAATAATTAATAAGAAAAAAATCAAATAAAAATTTTATAGTCGGGTAAAGTCGACTATTTAATATCGTATCCCACGTCAATAAGTAGAAACTTAATCATCTTCATTATAAAATTAAAAAGCCATATAAACAAAAATTCGCTTGAAAACTCTTACTCTTATCATAAAATATAATTCTTTTAATTTCGTTTTCTAGATATTTTATAAGAAAGTTTATATGAAAAGGATACAAAAAGTGGACGGAAGTATGCGAAGGTACCACCAATAATGAACAATGTTTGACTTGTATTTTCCTTGAACTCTGGAAAAGTCCACTTACCTGAATAGTTGCGCCAATATATTGTGTAAGGATCACATATTTTTTATAGGAAACTTTATATAGCATTAAAACCGTAACTAGCTAATTAAGAAAGCAAAGAATAAAATCGAAACTGACATTGTATTTCATTTTGTATGAATTTTTAACGAAAAGGGACTCGACTTCTTGCCGCTCGAGAAAATCGCTAACTTTCATAACGGTTGGAGCCTATTGAATGTTGTCAATCGTTGTCATTACTTTTATAAACGTACGTGCAGAAATTATGTCTATAATCTCAATGTAAAACCTATTTCAACTTTGTAAAAAAAGTCTTAAACTCATTTCCAATATTAAATTAAACAAAAATTATTTAATTTTGACTTCAATTTTCAATATTCAAGGTCTCCTACGTCTATTTTCTTATCAAAAACCCAGACTTGTAAGTAAAGTACAAGTAGAAAACAGGATCGTTTTAAAATTGTTAACAAACAGATAAATAGAATATATAAATAACAGAAAAAAATAATTACAATAAAGGGTACATATAAATAGTTGAACAGAGTTGTTTCGAAAGCGCAGTGATTACCGATTATTAATAATTCGTCTAACTAATAGCACTTTCTTGTCTATATGTGCGTATATAAATCGTTATTTGTCAAAACGCCATTTTAAGAATTTCTGGGAAAGTTAAAAGTGCTTTTCTGTCCTGTTCGTGAGGGTAAACGTGAAAAATAATACACAACAGCAATAATCTTTTTTATAGACGTATTAAAAACTTTAGTTTATATCAAACGCAGTAGAAAAAAGGAATATTAACAAATTTGATCAGCACAAGAAATTCGAAAGAGGAAATCAAGAAAGCTGCAATTGTAAAAAAAAACCATCATTCTCATTGGACTTCCTTGGCAAGCATTTTTTCTCTACTCTTTTTTTTTTTTTTTTTGTTTTTTCTTTTTACTCATAGTGTAAACGCGCGCACTGTATGTTGCAAATGTTCTATATGCTTATTACAAAAATATTGATTAAAAAGAGATCACTATATAAGTGAACGATTCAGTTCAGAAAATTGTGAAAAATTTTGTGAAGTATGTGTGTCTGAATAAAAATTTTGAAAAGTTTTATGAAGAAAAACTTTCGACAGTTTTCTTAGTTTGAAGAGAAAGAAACTAATGTATATTGAAAAAAAAGAAACGTCAAAAAAATTTGTGCTTTATTTCATGTGAAAGCAAACATAGTTTGCTTTTATTCGCAAGGAAGAGAAAACCAACCAACTACACATATACATTAAAAGAGCAACGAACCCTCTCGATTCATGCACGATTCATAAAAGCGGAAAAGGTGAGTAAACGAAGATAATGCAAAAAAGGCAATGTAAATACATGAGAAATACTACGAACAAATAGAAGTTGTTATAAATAAGATTAATTTTTGTGGAATTATATAGAAGTTTGATATAATCCATAAAACTGCGCGATCAATTAAATGCTAAATGCAGCTCACCGGTGTTTTTTGAAATTGTGTTTCTTTTGTTGTAGGGAAAAGGCCATGTATACAATTCAAAGCGTTGCCAGGATAAAATAATTTAGAAATTAAATATTCAATTATTCTATATTCGCCTTGAAATATTTGCTCAGAAAAAGGATTTATGTTTTTTTTTTTGATGAAAACCTAAAGATAAGGATTTCTTTCCTATATATTTCCTGAAACTTGCACAAATTCATTACATATATAAAACCATTAGGTGTGTAGAGTATGGAAAGAAGATGGACGACATATGTTTTAACGAGTGACGAACGAGACAAATGTGAGAACAAAAAGAAAAAAAAATGAACGAAATTATCTACCTATATACATAACGAATGGAAAAGTCCTCTTGTAACAAACAAGTCAAAGAGGCGAGTGTGTGCAGAAGTAGAAAAAGTGTTGGTGAAAAATTTCCAAATTCCTTGGAAAATAATATACAAATATCAATTATTTCCATTGAATGTTTAAATCAATATTTTTCTTAAAAGCCGATCACTTAAGTGCGAAAATTGATAAAATTCTATAGAAAAGGTTATGAGAAAATAAAGTCTGTAAGAAAGTGTGTTGCAAACGATTCCTGTGAGCTGTAACTATCTGCAAAATTCGAAAAATAGGAATACGATTGAGGTTCTATACGTTGCTTCAGATGAATTATTGTATTTTTGTTTAATGAAAAACAGTAGCAAAGCTTTTCAAAGACGACAAAAGAGATAAATTGTGAAAAAAGTTCGCTGTTTTTTAACGAGTAAAAACGTATTACAGAACTGGTTATGGGAAGTGTATCCTAGAGCCGCAATCCAATGTAAAAAAGATTCCACAACAACACTTTAACTTCTAATAATTTTAATGCTACTAACAATCCATTAAAATTGATTTGAAACAAGGAGGAAGGGCAAATAAAAAGAATTAATCTTACACACCCCTAAAAGGGTGCTGGTTTGCCAACATAAACAATAATTAATTTGGAGGTGGGTGTATTTTTCAAAAGTGAGAGCTAAAAGTTGTTCAATAATGTTGTTAATTTTAATCAGCAGGACTTGAAACCATTTAAAAGACGCCACCGAATTCAGTACTTTGCAAGATTTTCTTTTACTTGAATTCGTCATTCTATTTCAACTGTATTCGTGTTCGTTTCCACTTTATTTTGTGTGTGTTTTTCTTTCTTTCCTTCGTTAATTTTCATATAATGTTGCGTGCATTCGCATTTGTATACATTATTTACTAGGTTGACTAGATCTATCTCTTTTATTCCCATTGTTTTGGTCAACATAAATGCTAACATGTTCTAATGAGTTGGGAAAAGTGTTGCCAGCTCTTGTGTTTTAAAACTAAAAGGATGTATTTTTTTTTCTTGCATGAATTTCAGGATAACTAAGAAGACTGAGGTTTAGTTAATAATTCTACATAAAAAGTTAAACTATAAAAGTTCAATAACACTACAAATACTTAAAGATTATTGGAAAATCTACAAGAAGTTCAACAGAAAAATTTCAACAAGATTAAGCTTTATTAGCGAAATATTATTAGTTTGCTTCAAGTTATACATACTTTGCTAAGCGATAAAAAGAAAAAAGTTTAAAAAGCAAAAGAATCCTTGAGGTATAAGTTTGCACAAAAACATCAATAACAAAAGAATTAAAAGTGAAACAATAGTTCGTAGCCTGTCATTGCTCTAAACCATTATCGTAAATCCTGTGATTTGAACAATTTTGAAACTCAGAAACGAGTAACAACTTTATAAGAAAAAAGGTTCAAGCGAGCAGCAGCAAAAGATCTGAACGGAGTGGTGCTTGTGCACAGGGACAAGTTAAGGCTAATGAGGATCTACTGGCAGCATGAGTACACTGGGGGGAAGTAGGGGAGAGCGAAATGCCAAGCCCAAGTTCTCAGCACTCGATATAAATCGAATGTACAAAAATAGTCGTGTAAGTTGGTATAAAGATTATATAATAAAAGAGATTGGTCAGCATTTGATATTATTTTTATGTACATTTTTTATAGGGTGAAACGACAGAACCTTCAGCACAAAAAAATCAAGTGCCACGTAAACATGGAATGCAAAGTTTGGGAAAAGTGCCGTCCGCTAGGCGTCCACCAGCTAATTTACCATCCTTAAAAGCTGAAACGATAAGTTCGCCCTTAGTTGCTAATAGCATTATAATAACTGGACAAGAAGGTAAGTTTGTATCAATTCTTTATAAAACAAACGATTTATACCTCGACGCAAAAATAAGGAGGCGTATCACCAACTACATCTGGCTCGAATCCCTTAAAAAATACCACAGCAAACAACAGCAGCAGCCACAATAACAACAGCAGCAACCTTAATAACAACAGCAATAGCAACATTTTAACAAACAGCGGCAGTAGCACTCTTAATAGTAACAATAACAGTAACAATAACAACAGCAGCAGCAATAATAACACTGTTATCGGTGGTGTTGGCAGTAAATTGGTAAATAATTCGGTAACTACTGCATCGGTTGCCATTAAATCGGGCGGTGGTAGTGGTGGTAGCGGAAATAATCAAACGCATTACAATCATCAGAAGCCGATAACATGGTCTGCTGTTACAACCGGAAACGATCATGGTGGAGGTCAGCGTGGTGGCAAACCTACAGCTACTGTACCACCTTTATACCAGAGTCCACAATTTCAATACGAATTTCCAACACTAGATGGCACAGTTGGCGGCGGCGGAAGCGGTGGCAATCCAAATACAAATCGCAAGAGCGCTGTTGCCGACCATCGGGATCATTATCATCATCATCAAAATCATCAGCAAATAAATTCGAATCATCACAATCATTATCAACGAGATTCTCATGGACGTCATCATTATCAGCAACAACGCCAAGATGCGCACAGTTACAAAGATGGCAACGACGTAGGCGGTGGTGGTGGCTCAGTATCATGTGGAGACGAACACACGCGCGATATAAGCGAAGTCAGTTTGAGACCGCAAACAGATGCAGCAGTTTGGTTGCAACAACAAGAAAAAGCCGCCAAAGGTGCTTTAATAGGCGAAAACGCATCGAACCATCAGGGCCAGGGCCCCCAACAAAGTACGACTTCTAATGCCAATGCTGCCGTACCGTTACCAATTTTGGCATTAATGCCTCCATTTATGCAGCGAGGAGCTCCTATGACATCAGGAAGCATTAGCAGCACTACGAGCGGCGTTGGGCGTTCGCAAACGCCACCTAGTTATCAGAACGGTATTTCAAAAGACACACCAACGTCGTCGGCAAATGTTCGTCCTCAACCTCGCGGAGCTTTGAATGATTATCGTTCCAATTCACCGGCGATAGCCAGTTTCCGTGTATCCACTAATGTACCAAAACGTCCGAATCAATTAAGTACTCCGCCACCCGCAAATGGTTCACATGATAGAGAACGTGTCAATAGCGTTAGTGGCAGTGGTCCTAACGCACGTAAAGAAAAGGAATTTATTATTGAACCCGAAGTAGCACAAATGCAAAGACCTATTATCCGTGAAGAAGATCTCGAACGACTAAATGCTATCGCCAATGACGATAGCTGGACTAAGCAGGATGAAATAGATTATACGAAGAAACTTACGTTTTCAGACGAGGAGTCTCCAGAGGAGCAGACTCCCATACAGGAGCGCGAAAGACCCATCTTTAATAAAAATAACAACAGCGGAGGCAATGCAGTTGAGCAACGTAAAAATTCGAATGCTAGTGCTGCATCTTCAAGTACTGGAGCTGGTGGTATAGGTAATTGGCAGCGAAAGGAGCGTGACAGCTCAGAGCGCGAAAAGTCTTCTAGTGGCCTTGATCAGTTAGAAGATTCACGACACCAAAATGGTCATCGCCCAGCTGGACCTCCGGGTAGTATACCTCTGGATGCAGGCGTCCTTGAACGCGCTAAGTTACGTAGAGAAGAAGAAGAAAGACGGGATATGGAACGTAAGCAAGCAGCAGCCCGGAAGAAGCAAGAACTTGAGATGAAGATGAATTGTAAGAAAGCTGCGGGCGATGGTTTGGAGCAAGGAGTGCAATCGTCGGGTGCTGGCTTAGGTCCCGGAAATGACGAAAGTCAACAAGCAAGACGTATGGGCAGTAATAATTATGAACGCGGGCCAGCTTGTGGAGGTGGCAATCGTGCTTACGAGCGTGATATGCGTGGTGGAGGCGATTATATAAGAGGCAATAATGGAAGTGGTAGCAATAGTGGAAGCAGTGTTGGTGCTCCTGGATCAAGCACGGGTGGAGCACCTAAATCTATTTTTTCAGCCCATTTTCAATCCAATTTACCGCCACGATTTCAACGTCAACAACAAATGCAGTCGCAACAAAGTTCTACGTCGGTAGGGGGTAATGCCAATAATTCTGGTGTAGGACGTTCAATGTCTGGAGGGCAATCTTTGGAAAAATCTGCATCTTCGACCTCAACGTACGAAAATACACGGTATATGCAAAAGAGTTCTGCTTCCCAGAGAATGGGCTCCTTAAGTGGCGGCAGTAGTCGAGGAGAATACCGGGATAATTACCCCCGTACCTATGGACGATCGCGTAATGATAGCGAACGAGAGGATGATCAACGTTACCATGGACGGGCAGGACGTGATGATCACCAAGGTCGTAACATGGGCTGTAATCAATTAGCGCGTGGCGTATCCGACACATCCCAGCGAAAAACCAGTGTGTCTTCGAATGACGACTCGATTAAATACGGTGGTGATTGTAAAGAATACAATAGTGCAGCTGCAGTATCTTCATGGGCTGAAGAAACTGACGCTGAAATGAAGCGCCAACGGGGTGAGAGTTTTTCTTCCTCTCACAGCCACGAATCTACACACATCAAGATATTGCAACGGCCCCACACACAAAAAAGTCTATCTGAAGAAGATACTACAGCTTCACAGCAACCACAGCCACAACAACCACAAAAACAACAACCACAACAACACCGCATTAGTGAAAGTAGCGACAACCAGTCAGTTACGTTTGCACCCACGCAGATTTTACGTCGGTCTGAATCGAATGATGATAAGAGCACACATCAGAACAAACCATCGGCTATAGGTGATAATAAATTGGGCGACGAGCTTCCAAAAGTAATTGCCGAATCTAGCTCTGGTTCCGAAATTGTGCAAGAAAACCAATTGAATGCTTCCACGGTTACAGAAATTCAGAACAAAGTTCATGAGAACGAATATGTCGGCCAAGAAACAGCAAATCAGCGAAAAGAGCCTTGTCATAATAATAAAATAGAATTTGGTGAATCTAATGTTGGAGATACATCTAAGACGGATGAACAGCGAACTCTTTCATCTCAACCGCAACCTCAAAGAGAACAAAAACGACCAAGTCCGCGTGGCGGAGGAAGTGGCGGACGCGTTGATCGTGATCGCGGGGATCGTGGAACACACTCTCGAAGTTTTGGAGGCAGCGGGGGATCGTATCGTGGCGGTCGTGATGGAGGATGGAATTCACGGGGTAGCCATTCTCGTGGAGGCGGGCGTTACAACAACTCTTCTACCAACAGCGACACGCATTACTTGGGTGACTCTGAACATCCTGAAGAAGATGAATGTGACGAGATAACCTATGGTAATATAAGGCGCTCTGAACGAAACCTCAAAATGTCACGGAAAGATAGCGGAGGTGGTGGGGGCCGGCGAAATGGTGGAAGTTCTGATGAACGCGGCTTCACTCCTAGAGGTGAGCCTTCACGCCGTGGTCGGGGAGGCGGTGCAAGTGTAGGTGATCGTGGCATCTCATCTTCATCTTATAGGCGTAGCAATGACAATCGCGCCGGTGGTCGTAACTATGGTCGCCAAAACTACAGCGACCACAAGGATATGTCGAAACGTGTTTCAGAATCATCAGAAAGTAATAATACAGAAATAGACAAAACTAAACAGAATCAATTGGCTTTAAATGCGGGTCTGAGTAAGGCGTTGGACAAGGATTGCGACCAATCACGTTCATCTCAATCGAGCAACACGAGTAAACAGAGTCCTACATTAGTTGCGACCAAGACACAGGATCCAGAGAAGAAGAGTTGTACGACAACGCCATGTAAGCAATTTGTTATAGGAAACAGTGGAAGTGGGCAATCCCGAAAGGAAAGCACTTCTAGCAACAAAAATGACGACGACCATAATAGCGGTGGTGGTAGCGAACGTGACAAAAAATCTTCCTCGAAGGAGAAAGACATTCCTGGTTCTGGATTAATAGTGGGTACAAGTCGTCATATAATTTCTAATAGCAACAATACGATAAACTCTGCTAATAATGCAGCAAGCTCTATCACTCAGCCGAAGAAGCAAGATCTGCCAATGACACCACTGCCAATCGTTAACCAAGGTGCATCCAAACCAATACAACAGCCACAGTCGCCACAACTTCAAACACAACAACATCCACAACATACTGTAACTAAACCTCCACCCGGTTTGAGCGGCAGTATTCTGAAACCAGCTGGATCTTGTGCAAGCATATCATCAATAGGGGGGAATTCTCAGAAATCTACTACGGATTTGCAAAAAAGTAAATCCGACCCGAACAATTCCTCTAGCTTATCAGCTCAAATAAAAGAAGTTGACAAAAATAAACTGGGCTCCGTAGGTTCTCTTAGCGGTGATTCCAAGGCGAACAGTGGCGGTTTGATTATAGATGGTGCACCTGTCAACACTATTATATTCGAGAATACTAACTACAAACAGCAGGCTCAAGCGGCTCAAATGAAACGTTCTTCTGAATCATTAGTAAGCTCATCTGTGGTTTCTGGGGTTAACGTTTCCGTTTCGAGCGCAGATACTATCAGTACCGCTTTTTCACAAATGTCCTTCTGCAGCGGTAAGCCAGCGGAGATTAATTCACCAGCCAATGTAGCGGCTAATGATTATGATAAAGAAATAAAATTGGGATTTTCTTTTGGAGACGCTACTGAGTCATATACGAGTGCAACCAAAGGAGTGGTGGCACCAAACGATCACGAGAATAAGGCTGCCAGTAATGTTACTGTTGTCACACAGGCGCAAGCTGTAAGCATAAATCCACAACAGCAACAACAACAGCAGCAGCAACAACAGCAACAACATGTGCAACAGCAGCAACAAGCTCAAAATATTATTTCTACAGCTGACTTAAACATGAAAATTGCAAGTGTTAAAAAGGTGTGGGAAAATGTTGCTCCCATGGTCACTGATACCACTAATTCAGGATTACAGCAGCAGCAGCAACAACAATTGCATCAGCAACAGCAACAACAACAAATGGAAGTCGTTGACCCAAGTGCGCATATGACGGCTGCTTCTTTCGTGGCAGCAGCCGTAGCGGCTTCTCAACACCAACAGCAACAACAACAACAACATATGCCCCATTACGCGGTTACGGCTGTGCACATGCAACAACATCACTCACTCTCTTCACCAGGGCCGGTGCCTTCGGCATATGGTGGTCATGGTTCGCCTTTCGATGCCGCTCAATTGGAACAGCAGTTTGGTCAGGCTGCTGCCAGCATCGTTGTGGGCAGTAGCGATGATACATCCGTGGTAGGATATCCCAGTCCTCAACAGCAGCAGCCTAGTGCGGTGCAACAACAACAGCAACAAAATCTGAAACATCCATCAGAAGTGGTAAAACAACATCAACAACAAGTTTCTACGGCCGCCAAACAAATGCAACCACATCACAGCTCCTCCATGGGCATGTCTCCTCCACCTAATTTGCAACAGCAACAGCAGCAGCAACAACATCAACAACAATCTGCAGCGCAACAGCAAATGCATGCACCTCAGCCATTCTATCAGGCTTCCCCCCAATTTACTGGCATACCAACTATACCCAGTCCGCCAGCTGTGGTTTTTAACTCATCGCAAATGCCACCGCCGCCGTCACAGGGCGGTTTATACGCACCATTCCATTCACTTGATCATTCAAGTCGCTCACAATATTCCGCAGCGGCGGCTCATACTTTCCCCGGTCACTACGGTGCTGCGGCGGCTGCTGCGGGTCCTTTCAATGCTTATCCTATGCAAACACCGCCCAATATGGCCACAGCACCTACTCCTGAAATGTATTCCAACTTGACCTCGCAATTCCGAATGGGTGGTGGTCCATCACCCTTCGGCAATCCTAATTCCCAACAACTAAATAATCCTAGTGCAGCAGCCGTGGCAATAATATCCTCGAACTCTAATTCCCTTATGTCTACAGTGGGGTCGGTTAAGCCACCGCCCTCATCTCAACAATTAGGTACAATTGGTTCGAAAGGTGCAGGTGCAGGTGGACCATTTGCACCTGGTCAGCAGTATATGAACTTATATGCGGCTCCCCAACATCCTCAAGGGGGGCCTCCAGGCCCACCACCAGGAGCTCATCAAATACAGTCAAACAGTTATTATTCAAATTCCGCAGGAGGTCCTAGCGGTCCGACCGCCTTCTATGGTGGCCCGCCACCACAAGGTGCTGGTGCGGGGGCACAAAACTATGGCTTGGCTGCGGCTGCAGCCGCTGCGGCGGGCCTCTACGGAGGACATGCCGGTCATCAAGGTGGTCCGCCCGGATCGAATGGGCCTGCTGGGCCTCCCCAGGGGCCCCCTGGGCCACAGTCTCAACATACCATGGGTAATTTTAATACACAATTCATGAATTCTCAATTACTAACTGCGGCCGCCATAAATCAATTTCGTGGAGGTCCTACTCCACAGCAAGCAGCAGCAGCGTATATGAAATCAAGCCAACAACAAGGTCATTTACAGGATTCTGTAAGCTTAGAAAGACAAGACTTGATATTTTAAATTATGAATTGACGGTTTATTTTGTTTTAGATGGGTCGTCAATTGAAAAGCCCTTTAGGCGCGGATGTCAGTTTGAATTTAGTGAAACAGGCCCAGTCACAACCAAGTCCACCGCATCATAAAAATTATACAAGCGTAAGTTCCGAAAATTTTTCATTTATATATCATATACTTAAGTATTAAATAATCGTTCTGTCACCTAGTGGGATTTGCAGAATCAAGTAATGCAGCAACAAGCCGCCCAACAGCAACAACAGCAGCAACAACAACAAAATCAGCAAACCCCACAACAAAGATCTGCTGGTGGATCGAGTGGTAACAACCCAAACATGAACCCAAACAACCGAGGCGGCGGAGGAAGTTCTCAAGGGTCTCAAGGTCCCCAGGGACGCTACCCTGCACCCATACAAAGACCTACCAATTATCCTCAGCATCCACAACAGCAGCAGCAGCAGCAACAACAACAACAACAACAACAGCAACAACAGCAGGTACAACAAGCTCAAAGGGGGGGAGCGCCACCTAGTGTACGTCAAGGTAGTGGCGGTAATGCCAGCGTTGGCAGCGGTAATAGTGCAGGACCACAGGGCCCTGGTGGCTCTCAAAGCGGTAGTGTTGTAGGTCCGGTACCTGGTGGTAATGGGGCAGGCCCTGGTGGACCCGGTAACAATGGTGGCAATAATGCAACACCAGGTGGCCAATCGAATCAAATGAATAAAACTTATTACGCCAATAATGCTGGCAACGGAGGTCCTAATCGAGGTAATTTAGCTACACATTATTTCGATTCAAACAGATATTTTCAAGAAATTCCTCTCCATTCTTTTCCTCCTTCAGCTAATCACAATTAAATGCTTTTTGGCAAGTATGGCCTTTAAAGTTTTGTTTGTCTTAAGCTTTAAAATACAGTGAATAAATTAAAATGCGCTGTAATAATGCACACTTCTACTCCTTCCGCTCCTCTTCACTACATATAACTAACGAACGTGTTTAAAGGTAAAATGCAAAATGAACCGCAAAGCAAAAAGAATATTGATTTAAAAATGTATAAACAAACTAACTAACTATAAATAAGAAAAAAGGCAAGAGAAAATGGTAACAAATGAGAATCGTTGAAAAAGAGCACTTTAAATGAAGCAAAAAAGAATGAAAGAAAAGAAAGAAACAAATAGTTATGAAATTCATTTTATTGATATTGGCAAGAGCAAAAAAAAACAAGCAAGAGGAAGAACTTGGATGCCAACTCGTGGAATTTATGAGAATATTTCCAAACCTTAAACC